CCACAGGATTGGGCCCACTACAATGACTGCATATTCTTGCTGACCTTGCACTGAGCCACAGAGAGGTAAGCTCCTTCTCTGCCTGAGCTTAAAGCTGGGGAGGGCACAGAAGGCCTATCCCCGCAGCTGCACTGGTCCTTGGAAGAGTCCCATGATGTCACAACCAGGACCCCAGCCCTACACATTAAGCATGTTTTTAATGTGAGGGAGCATCCAGTTATGAAGGTCCTCACATAGCCCACAAATTTTTAGTTGACCTTGTGCCCAGGCTTGGGCTCAACATTGCCTGTGCCTGGAGAGACCTGTCAGTAAGCATGGACCAATGGTACCAAATAGTATGGGAAACAGCCTTACTAGAAAAACTAACCAATAAACTGAAACTGACACGGGGACAAATACAGTGGTACCTTGGGTTAAGAACTTAATTTGTTCCGGAGGTCCATTCTTAACCTGAAACTGTTCTTAACCTGAAGCACCACTTTAGCTAATGGGGCCTCCCGCTGCCGCTGCGCCACTGGAGCACAATTTCTGTTCTCATACTGAAGCAAAGTTCTTAACCCGAGGTACTATTTCTGCGTTAGCGCAGTCTGTAACCTGAAGCGTATGTAACCTGAGGTACCACTGTAGAAGAAGACGACTTCACCCCAGTATGGCTCCCCAAGACAATGACGAAAATCCACCACAGCCCAACAACTGAGAGCCAGTGTGGTGTAGTGGTTAAGAGCGGTAGACTCGTAATCTGGTGAACCGGGTTCGCGTCTCCGCTCCTCCACATGCAGCTGCTGGGTGACCTTGGGCCAGTCACACTTCTCTGAAGTCTCTCAGCCCCACTCACCTCACAGAGTGTTTGTTGTGGGGGAGGAAGGGAAAGGAAAATGTTAGCCACTTTGAGACTCCTTAAAGGGAGTGAAAGGCGGGATATCAAATCCAAACTCTTCCTCTTCTTCAAGACAATGACAAAAATCCACCAACAGCATACAAATCAATATGGCTAACCTGATCCAAAACACCCACCTACCCCACTAACACATGAAAATAAAGACCAACACAGCCAACTACAAATGAATAACCACACCCTAGGCCAACCCCAATCTCTCTCATGACCAAAGGACCACAAGTGAACAGCAAAGAACCTGCACAAGCAACGCTGACACCAAACCCTACATATATTAAGTAAAAAGAAACATCGTCACCCGACCCACCCCCATCTCCCCCCCCGCACCTCTTTCCCCCTTTTCTTCCTAATGTCTCAACAAATGAAACTGATTTGTAAAAATGTTACATGGGGGGGGAATACAAGAGAGAGACATTGCAAACACTTTTGTAAATCAATAAAATCTTTAATAAAAATACATTTAAAAAAAAAACATTGCCTGTGCCTCGCTTGTAATGCGTTATTTTTGTAAACTTTCTGTTCTAGGGACTTCCTTGTCAAGCTCACCAGACAGTAGTTACCTGGATCTTTTTATCCTTTTTGAAGATGGGGACAACTTTTGCCCATATCTAGTCTGTTCTCCAAGAATCCTCTAAGATAATAAACAAAGGCCATGAAATTACATCCACAAGCTCCTTTAGCACTCTTGGGTGCAGCTCATCAGGCTCTGGAGATTTAAATTCATTTAAAGTAGCTAGGTCCTCCCTTACTACCTCTTTTCCTATCTTGGGTTGCAGCTCCCTCCTTACATCATTAATTTTGTTATCACCAGATATCAAGCACAAAAGTAGTCCTGTTTCTATGAGCAAAGATGCTAACATATTACCGGTGCCAAGAGAGAACCATTTATACTGCCAATAGGGTTTAAGCACTGTTCCTACTAGTGTTGAGATACAGTGTATTACTAGCAGCCTTACTCTATAAATATTCCACACAATATTACACTTCAGGGCAATCATTGAAAGCAATCCCGTGCAGAATGCACTGTATTTTCAGACTTCGAAGGCATTCAATAGTAGTCAGGAGATACAAATTGCTTACAAACAAATTGGCCTTTTTAAAAATATAAATGTCTTTGGGAAGGACAATCTGGGCCTAATGAGAGACTTTCGAAACAATTGTGTCTGGTGTTTGTTTGTTTCATTACTAGAATAGGACAATTCCAAAGGACATTGTAAGACAAGTAGCACTGACTTTGATTTAACCTGTTATAAATTGCTTTCATTTGATATTTGCTGATTGATTTTAAACCCGATTCAAGTAAAAAGATCAATCACATTAAATTGAAAAAGGGAAAAAAGAGGTCCAAACTGAAAAGAGAGAGCTGGCCACCATTCATCTAAAGACACACCTCATATCTTTATTAGAGTTGGGCAACACAATTAGTCAGGGAATCTCTGGAAAAAAGACCGTGAATAATCTGATTTTGCTCATGATAGATGAAGTGCTACTGGCTTGAAACTCATCATCTGAAGAAGTGAGCATGCACACAAAAGCTTATACCCAGAACAAACTTTAGTTGGTCTCTAAGGTACTACTGGACAATTTTTTTAATTTTTTTTATTTATTTCGACTTCTTGATCAAGACAAAATCCCACCTGGAGAATCCAAGTACAATTTAACAGCACACATCAAGTGAGACTCCTTCAGAATATTTTTTATTCAAGGAATTCCCTGGAATACTGTTGCCCAGAATGTTATTACTACAACTGCCATATGGGCTTTCAGTGATGGTGTTGTAATAAATAAGAATTGTTGGAATATCAAGCAACAACTAAATCTTACTTTACTAATACATCCTCTTCTAATCAATCAAGGAGACATTGGCCTGGTTAACACATAGTAACTTTAAGCCATTGTTTGTTTAAGCCACTTTGGTTTGTCTCTATTGTTTCAGGCAGGAACCTTTCCAAGAAGACACCAGGGACTGAACTTGCGACCTTCTGCACATGAGGCATAAAAACATCAGACGAACATACCTCCACATGTGGTGGGAGTGTCCCAAAATCCAACTATTCTGGACAACAGCCATACGAGAAATATGTAAAATAACCAAGCAAGTATTAGAAATCACCCCAGAATTGGCCCTACTAAACATCTTCCAAGACAACAATGCCCACTTACACCACAAAGAACTCATGACCCACCTACTCTCAGCAGCCAGAAACATCATAACCAGACACTGGAGAGACCTGTCATGAATAAGCATGGACCAATGGTACCAAATAGTATGGGAAACAGCCTTACTAGAAAAATTAACCAATAAACTGAAACTGACATGGGGACAAATAGAAGACGATGCCTTCACCCCGGTATGGCTCCCTTTTATCACATACGCAGTCCAACAAGACAATGACAAAAATCCACCAACAGCATACAAATCAATATGGCTAACCTGATCCCAAACACCCACCCCACTCACACATGAAAACAAAGACCACCACAGCCAACCACAAATGAACAGCCACACCCTAGGCCAACCCCAACCTCTCTCACCACCAAAGGAACACAAGTGAACAGCAGAGAACCTGCACATGCAACACTGACACAAAACCCCACATATATTAAGTAAAATAGAAACATCACCACCCGACCTCACCCATCTGCACCATCCCCCCTCTCTGCACTTCTTCTCTCTGCTATTGCTATTGTTAGTGCTATTGCTATTACTATTAGTAGTAGTAGTATTTATGAAATTTCTATAATGCATTCCATCCAGGATCCCAGGACAGTTTACAATATAAAAGCACAAAAATGCATAACATAGTAACAAACAAAAACAATAAACCCCCTCACGTAGTTTAAAAGGCCATAGATTGTTTAGTTAGACAAAGGCTTGGGAGAAGAGGATGTTTTTTACACCTAAAGATATGCAACAAAGGCTCCAGGCAAGCCTCCCTGGGGAACGCATACCACAAGCAGGGAGCCACCACAGAAAAGGCCCTTTCTCATGTTGCCACCTTCCACAGAGAAGGCACACAAAGGAGAGCCTCCGATAATGACTTCAGGGTCTGGGTCAGTTCAGTCCTTGAGGTATTACAGTCCTGAGCCATTTAAGGCTTTATATATCAAAACCAGCACTTTGAATTGGGCCTGGAAACTAACCGGCAGCCAGTGCAATCTGGCCAGGACTGGCGTTCTATGCTCAAACCGCTTTGCCCGGGGAAGCAACCTCATTGCTGAATTCTGCACCAGCTGAAGTTTCCAAATCCACTTCACATGCAGTCCCACAAGTCACAGAGGTAAATAACTACAGCTTTTAGAAGACATCTGTCTAGGGAAGTTTCTCATGTCTGACACTTTATTATTATATTCTGTAAGCCACCCAGTGTGGCTGGGGCAACCCAGTCAGGTGGGCAGGGTACAAATAACAAAACTGTTATCATTGTTATCCTAATTGTGCTTTTATATTTGCTGGTAGCTGCCCGGAGTGGCTGGGGCAACCCGGTCTGGTGGGCGTGGTACAAATAACGAAATCATTATTATTTTTATTCTAATGCTTTGCAGTAGTCTAGTCTACAGGTTTTTACCAGACCAGACGCAGTTATTAATAGTAGCATTTTAGTACCTGAACTGGAGGAGAGGCAACTATTAATTTTAGTACCTGCCTGTTGCAATTATACGATTCCCCTTGGCTCTTTGCAAGGGGGTTTGGTGAGATGGCCTTTTGCGGTCCCTTCCATTCTATGCCTATGTTAAGAACGGACCTCCGGAATGAATTATGTACTTAACCTGAGGTAAAGGTAAAGCAGACCCCTGACCATTAGGTCCAGTCATGGCCGACTCTGGGGTTGCGGCGCTCATCTTGCTTTATTGGCCGAGGGAACCAGCGTACAGCTCCCGGGTCATGTGGCCAGCATAACCCGAGGTACCACTGTATATATCTATATCTATCTATCTATATCTACATAAACAACAACACCTGCTGGTTGCACTTGTACAATTCCCCTTGGCTTTTTGCAAGGGGGTTTGGTGAGATGGCCTTTTGCGGTCCCTTCCATTCTACGCCTATATCTATCTATCTATCTATCTCTATCTCTCTCTATATAAACAACAACACCCCAGAATATGTTATATATATATATGTGTGTGTGTGTGTGTGTGTATACATACACACACACACACACATATATATATATATGTGTGTGTGTGTGTATATATATATATATACACACATACACCCACACACCCACCCACCCACACACCCACACACCCACACATATATATATTATAGAATTTATATAAAATGGGATCTCGCTGTGTGTGTATACACACACATATACATACACACACACACACACAGCCCATTTTATGCAGCAGCTAACAGACAAGGATTACTGCCGCCCCGAAGCAACCCCCCCCCAGGCCAGCAGCACTTACAGCGTGTGGCCGCAGACGTTGACCATGAGCTTGAGAGAGGGGTTCCTGTACTTGGTGGTCTTGCAGCGGGGGCAGCCCTGGTCGTCCATGGCGGCTGGGCCTCCGCTCCCTTCCTCCTCCTCCTCCTCGCCCTCCTCCTGGCGCTGCAGCTACTCCTCGCCGCGGCTCAGCATCGCCTGGCAACTCCGGCCAGCGGCGTCCCTCCGCAAACAACGTCCGGGCGGCTCCGAAGCCTCGGGAACGACAGTTCCGCCTGGCAGAGGGCGAGGAGCGGGGGAAGGAAAGCCGCGCCGCACAGAGAGCCCGACGGCTGACTTCTTTGAATTGTAGGCTTGGAGGTTGTGATGGGCAGCTGTCTTTCCACAAGGGCCCAAGTTTGATGCCACAATCCAGCACCGCCTGAGCTGTGCGAGTGCGGCTTTCTCCCGATTGAAGTGCAAAGTGTTTGAGGACTGGGACATTCGCAGGGAAACTAAAATGCTTCTTTATAAAGCTATTTGTCATACCAACCTTACTGTATGCTTGTGAAAGATGGGCAACTTATAAGCGCCATCTCCAACTCCTTGAAAGATTCCATCAATGGCCATAGCTGTCAACGTTTCCCTTTTTAAGGGAAATTCCCTTATTCCGAATAGGATTCCTCGCAAGAAAAGTTGACAGCTATTGTCAATGCGATCTCTGGAAAATTTTACACATCACTTGGGAAGACGGGCGAACTAATGCCAGTGTACTGGAAGAAGCAAAGATCACCAGAGTTGAAGCAATGATTCTTCAACATCAGCTTTGTTGGACTCCTCATGTTGTGCGGATGCCTGATTATCATCTTCCAAAGCAACTACTCTATTCCAAACTTAAAAATGGAAAGTGTAATGCTGGTGGTCTACAAAAGAGGTTTAAAGACTCTCTCAAGGCAATTTTTAAAAAATGTAGTATGTTTAGTCGTGTCCGACTCTTCGTGACCCCATGGACCAGAGCACGCCCGGCACTCCTGTCTTCCACTGCCTCCCACAGTTTGGTCAAACTCATGCTGGTAGCTTCGAAAACACTGTCCAACCATCTCGTCCTCTGTCGTCCTCTGTTCTCATGAGGTGGCCAAAGTATTGGAGCCTCAACTTCACGATCTGTCCTTCCAGTGAGCACTCAGGGCTGATTTCCTTAAGAATGGATCGGTTTGATCTTCTTGCAGTCCATGGGACTCTCAAGAGTCTCCTCCAGCACCATAATTCAAAAGCATAAATTCTTCGGCGATCAGCCTTCTTTATGGTCCAGCTCTCACTTCTATACATCACTACTGTGAAAACCATAGCTTTAACTATACGGACCTTAAAATGTAGTATAAACACCAACAATTGGGAAACACTGGCCTGCGAGCACTCCAGTTGGAGAGCAGCCTTTACCAAAGGTGTCATGGGCTTTGAAGACACTTGAACTCAGGACGAGAGGGAGACACGTGCTAAGAGAAAGATACGCTTGGCAAATCCCACCGTTGGCAAATCCAACCGTGATCAATTCCCCCCGAAAACCTATGTCCCCACTGTGGAAGGACATGTGGAACCAGAATTGGCCTCCACGGTCACTTACGGATTCATTGTTAAAACCATGTTTATGGATGACAATATTACTCGGCTACGAGTGATCGCCAAAAAAGAAGAAGAGACTTGGAGGGGGGCAGCCAGGATTTATTGGGGGGGGGTGGAGGAAGGATACCCACCTGTCCTCTTGGGCGCAGCCAAGGAGGGGCAGCTTCTAAATCCATCAGAATCCATCTAATACATATTTAAGAAATCAAGGCCGCAAACTTTTTTTTAGAAAGGAATGGGCGTGGTTTATTGAGTATTTGCAAAACAAACCTGGAAACAGATTAAGACAAGGTTCTTGTAACAACCTGCAGGTTGATATAGGAGATCTATATTAGAAGAGACGCATAAAAGAATGAGTTAAGACAGGAGTAGGCAGGAAAGGGTAAAAATTAATGTAAGGAACCGCAGAAAAAGGGGGAAGGGAGTCGAAATGGAAAACATTAAAACTTGGTAAAATAATTGTGGCAATGTATATAAATGATAATTGTAAACAAAAAATTTAAAAATATAAATAAATACAAATCTGAGGTTCTGTTCCCCCCCAACAAAAGCCTGCCCCCCCAACAAAAAACAATGCAAATAAATACAAATCTGAGGTTCTGTTCCCTCCCCCCCCCACCACCGAAACAAAAATCCTGGCTATGCCCATGCCTGTCATCTTCCTCTGGCTGTGTCAAGCAGATTCAGAATGAAATGTCTCAACAACAGTTGCTTTAAAATTATTTCTCAGAGAAATCTGTTGAAATCTTTCCACAATTTCTACTTTTAGTTAAGTATTTTTTTATTGGACTTGATTGGGGGGCACGACTACACCCCACACACCGTTTTAGCTTTCAGGCTGCAGAAGGCCAAGCAGGTCTCTGCCCCGAGGTGCTTCCAATCTCTCTTTGCGTTGGAGAAGACAATGTGGCTCCTGCAAGGGGACCTTGGCCTTACTCAGGTGTAAGCCCTGGCTATTTTAAATAGGGCTTGCTTCCCAGGCTGCAGCATGGTCCTCCTGCCTACTGGGAAGCATATCCTGTTTAATTCAAGGAGGCTTGCTCTCAGGGAAGCCAGGGATGGCATTGCATCTTTAGAGAGCGTAGGGTCCCACTGCCTAATTCAATAGCACTTACTCCTCTTTGTCGTAGCGTTGCATACCCTCCAACATTGCTCGGATGAAAATAGGGACATAGAATAATAATGTAGTACTGTATATAAATATTAAAAATACTAATGCTTTTAAACAAATAAATATGTGGATGTTTAAAGCTCACATACCTGGGAAGGGGTGTAGCTCTTCAGTGGTCGAGGATCTGCAGAAGATCTCGTGTTCAATCCCATCTTATCTCCAAGCTGATGGTGTCTGTGAGCCACTTTGGAAGATAATCATTCTCCAATGGGAGAAAGTTAGAAGTACTTTCTTAGTTTTCCCACTAGGATCAAAGGACTGTGCTGACCAGTACTATGAACATTTCCTCGCAAGTAAATCCAACTACGTTCGGTGGAGCTTATTCCCAAGTAAGTATATATTGCCATGGAGAGCCTAAGCGTGTTTAGCCAAAAACAAGTCCAACTGAATTCAGACGGTCTTGCAGTACAATAGCATTCCTGTCTACTCAGAGGTAAGCTTCATTATTTTCCACGGGCCTTTCTCCCAGGTCAGCATGTACAGTATAGGACTGCAGGCTTATCAGCAACCATCATTGTAATCCCAGGCATGTCTACTCAGAATTAAGTGCCATTGTGTTCAATGGGGCTTACTCCCAGGTAAGTGTGTAGAGGACTTTTCAGTCTAAGTGTGCATGGAGCCCTAGGCTCGAAAGGGGGTTATTAAAAGCCCCAATGTCCCATCAACATGTCAAATATTACTACTTGGATCTGAACCGAATTAACCCTGCTCTAGTCAAGGGACGATTCACACGGCAGATCTTGTCTAAATGCTCAAGTCGATAACGGTGTCTCAAAGGCATTAAAATCGCAGATAACCAAAATGGGACTGGGTGCTCTGCAATAATGTCACAATCTGACACAGATCCAGGCTTGGTATGCAGTTAGGGGTCATGTCAGTCAAATCCTAACCGTGAATGCGCTGATTTCAGTGGGGACTTGCTCCCGAGTAAATCGGGTCAGGAATGCAGCTTCCCCACACTAGAGGGAAATCGTTTTTCATTCACAGGGTCAAAGTACTTTTCGTCTTCCAAAACAAAGCCTAACCTGTGTTTATTAAGATTTTCTCAAGAACAGAGAATAGGTCTATAGGGCAAGGATTGGGAGCCTGTAGCTTTTCAGCCAGCAGGAGCAGTGGTTAGGGATGATGAGTCCTGCAGTAGTTGGAGGTCCGCATGGCTGCTATATGAGAAGGGTTCATGCTAAATGACTGGCTTGGGACTGGGAGTTCAATTTAGGGCACAGCCTAAGTTCCTTATGGATCGTGTCTGTCTTGTCAGCAATCTACAAGGCGCTTGAGGATCTGTCGGACTAGTCCAGACGGCAGATGGAAGAGAAAGACGTCTCATAAAATACAGTTGGTGGCTTCTGAGCAGAACAGTCGCAGCCGCTTTTATACATGAAAACTGATTTGCAATCTGTACTGCCAATCCAAGATAATAAATTTGCTAGGATCAGACATCTGATGTCCTTTCCCATTCCAAACACCTCCGTGAAATCAGTGTCTGATTTTGATTCACAAAACACGGGAGTGTGCCTGTCTCTGCTGCGGTGAGCTGAACCCAGGAGTAACTGTTAAGTTGTGGGTGAACATATCGGACGACACAGCAGTTCTTCAACAGCTCTTGTTTATTCACAGGCCAGAACAGATCTGAACTGAAAGGTTCAGCCAGCCTGCTTATATAGAGCTCCAGTACAACGTAACTGTAACAAATTTCTGTAACTATCCAATCACTGAACGTCACTTTCGACCCCTTATTTGCATATGTGGACCTGAACTATCTACAGTATCCCCCTGCTGGCTCAGGGTGAGAACTTCAGTACATAACAGTAACGATCCACTGTGTCCGTGGGTGAAAGGAAATGTTTTAAGAAAATGAATGAACTCTTCCCAGACAGAGAAAGGAACGGCTGATCAATCATACTTTTTTTTTAAAGGAAGCTGTTTTGTTCTCACTCCTGTGTGCCATACTCAAGTGCCTCTTGTGCAACAACTGGGTATTACGCACTATACATTTCAAACACATTTAAAGCCTTGACACACAGCAATGATCCTGAGAACCGTACTTTGTTAACGGTGCTGGAAACTACAGTTTCCATGATTCTTTATAGGGAGAGGTGTATTTTCAGTGTAGAGAGTGTACTGTATAGGCAACCTCAGTCCCACTTAACTGAATCGCGTTTACTCGAAAGTAAACATACATAGAGTTGTAGCCTTGCTGTTTACTCCCATATATGCTTCCTTAGAGGACATGGGTGGCGCTGTGGGTTAAACCACAGAGCCTAGGACTTGCCAATCAGTAGGTCGGTGGTTCGAGTCCCCGCAACGGGGTGAGCTCCTGTTGCTCGGTCCCTGCTCCTGCCAACCTAGCAGTTCAAAAGCACCTCAAAGTGCAAGTAGATAAATAGGTACCGCTCCGGCGGGAAGGTAAACGGCGTTTCCGTGCGCTGCTCTGGTGTGCCAGAAGCGGCTTAGTCATGCTGGCCACATGACCCGGAAGCTGTACGCCGGCTCCCTCGGCCAATAAAGCGAGATGAGCACCACAACCCCAGAGTCGGCCACGACTGGACCTAATGGTCAGGGGTCCCTTTACCTTTATGCTTCCTTAGACTTAAAGCTGCAGTTTTGTGTACCGATATTTGAGAGGACAAAGGCTGCAATCCTATGGTTCAGCTGGGAATAAGTCCCTTTACAGTTAATGAAACTTATTTCTGAGTAGAAATGTGCTGCGTAGAATTGTGCTCTTAAGTCTTGCTACAAACTATGAGTTTGGGGAGGCTTACTTGCAAATAAATGTGTTTAGAGTTGCAGCTATGACGGTGTAATCCAGGGGTATTCAAAATAGTACCAGCCAGGTGTTGTTATTGTTTTGGACTCCAACTCCCATCAACCACTGCAAGCATGGCCATTGGTCTGGAATGATGGGAGTTGTAGTTTTAAAAAATGGTGGCGGTTAGCACTTGCCTGCAGCTGACAGAATCCATTATGAGAATCTGCACAAGAGAGTGGTGGCGGCGGCAGCCAGGAGTTCAGTGTTATGTACACTGTGACTTGAGGTTGCAAAGATAGCAGCTTTGTATTTAGACACAACGCGCTCTCTGTTTATACTGCACTGTTTTAAGCACTGGCTTTCGTAAATCCAAAATCAAATAAATAAACGTCATGTCACTACTGGTACAGGAGCATTGCAACAAAAAACGGGAGATTCTTCCAAAGTTAACTTAAGCACATTTAGACCGCAGTCCTATACACAATTAACTGGGAGCAACACACACAATGTAACAGGCTGTTTTTGACTATGTAACTTCTATTTCAAACACAATTCAACATATAATATCTCACAAAGTGGGAGAGCATCCCATTGAAAAGCAGGACTTGCTTGTATGTAGACACACATCAGAATGTGGTTTAAATTTCATTTTAAAGTGCCTAACTTTGACTGGACTGCATCGTTCTTTGCCTACTTGAGCTGCTCTTTATGATGACACTTTTGGTTTTAATACATTGCTGTGCTTTCCAACATTGGTGGTGGGCAGAAAGTAATTTGGGATTGGGGGGGGGGCAACTTTGCAATAGATTGACAAGCGTTTCGGACTCCTAAGAATTTAACAGCTTTTTTCCTTTCTTCCTAAATTAGGCATTAGGAGAAAACCAGGAGTGGATTTTTGGCGTGTAAGGATTCTGAACTCAGTTCAGGTTCGTAGAATCTTAGAGTTGGAAGGATTCTGAAAATGAATTCAAGGTTAAGCAAATTCTCAAATGCTCCTTGTAACTGAACACTGCTGGACACTTGTGTCTTCAGAGAAGAAGAAGAAGAAGAAGAAGAAGAAGAAGAAGAAGAAGAAGAAGAGGAGTAGTTTGGATTTGATATCCCGCTTTATCACTACCCCAAGGAGTCTCAAAGCGGCTAACATTCTCCTTTCCCTTCCTCCCCCACAACAAACACTCCGTGAGGTGAGTGAGGCTGAGAGACTTCAGAGAAGTGTGACTAGCCCAAGGTCACCCACCAGCTGCATGTGGAGGAGCGAAGACGCGAACCCGGTTCCCCAGATTACGAGACTACCGCTCTTAACCACTACACCACACTGAACAGGGTAGGGACCTTTAGAAGCAAGCAATCTCTTGGGTCCTCCAGTGGGAGACTTGCTTAAGAACCCTTGGAGCTGTTAAAGGAGGAGGAGGAGGAGAATTTATTTATATGCCACCTATCTGGGTTTCCCTAGCCACTCTGGTCATCTTCCAACAAATGAAAACATCAAACACAGGGTTGTTTCAGAAGTCTTCTAAAAGTCAGATAGTTGTTTATGTCCTTGACATCTGACGGAAGGGTGTTCCACAGGGCCGGCGCCACTACCAAGAAGGCCCTCTGCCTGGTTCCCTGTAAGCTCACTTCTCGCAGTGAGGGAACCGCCAGAAGGCCCTCGGAGCTGGACCTCAGTGTCCGGGGAGAACGATGGGGGTGGAGACGCTCCTTCATACAGGGCCACCACACCCTCCAGAATACTGGCACTCGAAGGCTGCATCTACAGACCCAGCGTTATCACGCAGCATGTGAGTATGTAGTTTACTTGTAAGTAAGCAATCTCTGAATGAGCAGCTGTATATAAGGAATGCATATAAAGGCATGGTTCTCAAAGAGTGTGGCAAAAGGATGACCGTGGCCGGAAGATTCAAGGACAACTAAAGAAACATTTAAACCTGCAGTACAGTATAGTAACAACAACAAAAATATTTGCAGAAGAGGTTTTGTTGTTTTCTTTTGTTTTGCAGTAAAAGTATGCCACTGGATTATTTTTGGATATACAACCGGAAACAGTATCTGCGCCTCTCTTCAAGAGCATTGGTTAATCTTCTACAGTTCCATACGACCGTATTGCTGTGAACAAGGATTTTCAACTCTGACAAATACAAAAAATCAGAAAAGAGAAAGGCTATTATGTGTTGATGAGGAGATGAGAGTTTATCTGTCTCAGATTAGACCTAATATAAATAAGATTACCCAGCAAAAGCAAACACACCGCTCATTGAGTTTGTATACATACTTAAGATATATATATAACAGGCTCATTTCTAATTATATTTTGGTAATGATTCATGTTCTGCAGCACGCCTATGCACATTTAGTGGACTCAGTGTGACGTGTGTCTAGATTGCAGCCTTATCTGAAGTAAGCCCTTTTGAAACTCAGTGGAGTTCCCTGCCAAGAAAATACCTTTGGGGGTTTATTCTAACATGCAGCTAGACACATCTTGTGCAGAGTCACGGAAATTGTGCAGTGTGAAATAAGCTTGTGCTGCAGTTGGGCACCTGGGATTTAATAAGGAGATAGGTAGAGTCTAAGAAGAGGAGAAAATGGTTGAGAAAAGGCAAAAAGAAATAGAAAACATATATATATATATAAAAGGAGTCTTTGTCCTTGCCAGCAAGGAACTCTTTCCAAAGGCAAAGTGTTGTGGTTTAGTGTTCAGCAGTCTGTGGTCCAAAAACTGTCTCCAGCAGTTGCAGTTCTCCACAGGCCTTGAAGGACTTTTCTACTCAGCCTTTCTGTAGAACATAGACCTGGTAGCCCAGTTAGTGATTTCTCCTTCAACAGACAGTTTGGCAAATCGCAGGATAGCGCACACACACACACACACACACACACTCCCAGCCAACTATCATCTCAGCTCTTTGCATCCCTTTCCCATCCCTTCTCTGTCTTCACTTCTCAAGTATAACAGCAGCTGCAGCCTGGCAAAGGTCTCTGCTGCGTCTTAGGCCACGTTCTCACCATACCTTTATAGCACTATGATACCACTTTAAACAGCCATGGCTCCCCCCCCAAAGAATTATGGGAGTTGTAGTTGCTTAAGTGTTCTGAGAGTTGCTAGGAAACTAATGTTTCCTGCACAGAACTCCTGGTGAAGATGAATTGATTGTGAAACCACTCTGGGAACTGAAGCTCTGTTGGGGGAATAGGGGTCTCCAAACAACTCTCAACAGAATCATAGAAATGTAGAGTTGGAAGGGACCCCGAGGGTCATCTAATCCAACCCTCTGCAATGCAGGAATTGCAACTAAAGCATCCATGACAGATAGCCATCCAATCTCCACTTGAAAACCTCTAAGGAAAGAGAGTCCACCACCTTTGGAAGGCCTCTGTTTCATTGTTGAACTGCTCTTGCTGTCGGAAAGTTGTTTAGTGTCAGAATTTCTTTTCTTGAGACTTGAATCCATTGGTTCGAGTCCTACCCTCTGGGGCAGGAAAAAACAAGCTTGTTTCCATCCTCCATGTGACAGTCCTATAGATATTTGAAGATGACATATCTCCTCTCAGTCTCCTCTAGGCTAAACATACCCAACTCTTTCAACTGTTCCTCATAAGGCTTGGTTTCCAGACGCTTGATCATCATGGTCACCCACTGCATACCTTCCAGCTTGTCAACTCCTATCCTGGAGAACTAATCCTCGAAGAAGACTTCTCCCAAATGGCAAGGCATGTGGACAGTTCAGAAGATAGCATCACAAGGCTGAGACGATTCCTCCTTTCGTCCGCTAGGCCCAGCAGACTGAACCAGGTAGATCAAGAGGTGCAAGGTCACCAGACAAAAACTGAAGGACAGGCAGACAGAGCCACTGATATTAATAAGTTTGTTTTCTGGACCTTATTCCAGACAGTGTTGTAAATAATACATGGGTTAGCAGCAGCAGCAACCCTGCAGCTTTTGAGCAGCCATTTTGCGACGATCCTTCATTAACTCTTAGTATACCTCAGCAGTAAAAGTAAATGTACAGTATTTTACAGGGAGAATAGTCATTTTGTAACAGATTGCAAATCCTAGTCACAAAAAATAATATTTTGGGTGGGGGCTCAGCTTTAGAGTTCTGTTTTGAGCAGGAAGGGAGTCTTGGTGCCAAACTGCAGGTTAAGAAAGGTAAATAATCTCTTTGCCCAAGAAACTGCGGCAGGCGACTCCCCTTACCTTATCGCATTCTTTTCAATTAAACTTTGCTTTTTCTTGCTCCCTCGCTGTCTTTCTCATTTCCCCAAATTTCCAGCTTTCTTCCTGTGCTGTTTTCTTCTTTTTCCCTGCCTCTTTCTGTGTTAATTCTTGTTTTCTCTTCCCTCTTTCATTTTCTTTCTCATTTTGGGGATGGGCAGTATACTGGCTGCTTGTGCGGTGGGGGGGGGGTCAGAGTTTAGAATAAACTCTACTTACACTCCCATATTTTATCCCCCCCTGTGTCCACATAAGAGTGTAAAAAGATGGTGACTTACAACGCCACCCAATACTTGGCTAGTCAGAAGCAAGCCCCATTCAGTTCAATGGGACTTCTAGGTAAGTTGATACAGGATTTCACAGGATTCAATCCCACAGACGTGCTTAATTGGGGTTGAGGAGCTCAATGGGGCTTACTTCTGAACAATCCTCTACACACTTTGGAGTAAGAACCACTGAATTTAATGGATCAGACTCCTAAATATATATGCATATATACGCTTAATTAACCAAGTAATGTGGAGAGGTGAGGTTTGAACTCTGTGGACTAGCTGTCCACAGAAAGTTATCTTACACTCTCAACCATTTATTTGGAAACCTGAAAGTTTAACTTAACTGGGAAGCTTAACTGGGACTGACTGAGCTCAATGAGACTTTATTTCTGAGCAACCCTCTGCGCAGCACGCAGTAAGAACCACTGACTTTAGTGGATCTAACTCCTAAATTTATGTGCATAGTCCTGTGTTATTGACCAAGTAATGTGGAGAGGCAGGTTCTGAAGTCTCCCTTAGCTAAGCGCTACAACTCCATTGAAAGATATCCACTCTCTCAACAGTTTACGTATCTCGAAACTTGAAAGTTTTGCTGTTAAGGATGCCTAGAAAGAGGGACACCTACGCTTCCCTTTCGTTTCTCTCCCCCCCCCGCATCTCCCCCATCCCAGCCGCTCCAGGGAAGCATTGCAGGGGAAGAGAGAGGGGGTGGCACAGAGCAGCCGCGCACGCCCCGATCTTCCAGGTAGAGGTGTTTCGCTTTTCGAAAAAGGAGGGAGCAAAGCCTCGCCAAGCGGGCACCGACGGGAGGGGCGGGGCGGGGGAGGGGTTGATTGACGGTTCCCATAGAAACCCCGGGATGCCCCCGCCCCCTCCGCACTGGGCGGCCAATCCGCGCCCGCGCCCGGGTCCAGGAGGCTGCTTGTGCCATTAAAGAATATGTAGGCAGGCGAGAGGCAGAGAAGGCTTTGGAGGAGTCACGTTGTGGTGGTAGTGGAGGGGGGGCGGGGGGGAGAGGAAGAAAAGGGAGAGGGGGGGTTGGGGAGGAGGAGGAGGTCGGACGGGGTGGGGGGAAAGGAGCCGCGATCCGCTTACACAAAGTTTTGCTCGAACAAGCTGTCTTAATGGTTCCTGCGCGGCGGCGAGGAAACCTGATCGGCTGAACGCCAGCCGGGTGGCGGGGCAAGGAGGAGGAGCAGGAGCAGGAACGGTGTGTGTGTTTGTGTATTGCACTGGGGAGGGGGGGGGAGAGAGAGGAAAGGGGGGGAAACCCACAAACCCACACCACCCAACTCCAAAACAAGGGAGGGGGCGGTGGAAAATGTCCTCTGCCTCCCCCACCGCCCCGATCCCCGGCGTGGTGGCGGCGATCAAGCAGGAAAACGTGCTGGCGGACATGCTCTCCGGCGGCGTCGGGGCGCAGGAGAAGGCAGCCCGGGAAGGCTGCGCGCCGCCTTTCGCCAGGAAGCAGGAGGAGGAGGAGGACGACGGGGAGGACGAAGACGACGAGGACGAGGAGGCAGCGGCGGAGGCGGCCGACCAGGTCCTGCTCCACGCCGAGCTGCTGGTGCGCAACCAGCCCGTGCGCCACGCTGCCCTCTCCGCCGCGCCCGCCTGCTCCTCGCCGTCTCCCGCCTCGCCTTGCTCGCCGCCGGCTCCGCTGGCTTTCTCCCCGGAGCACGTCGCGTGCGTGTGCGAGGCTCTCCAGCAAGGCGGCCACCTGGACCGGCTGGCGCGGTTCCTGTGGTCGCTGCCGCGGAGCGACCTGCTACGTGGCAACGAGAGCCTGCTGAAGGCGCGCGCGCTGGTGGCTTTCCACCAGGGTCTTTACGCGGAGCTGTACGGCATCCTGGAGAGCCACAGCTTCGACGCCGCCAACCACGCGCTGCTGCAGGAGCTGTGGTACAAGGCGCGCTACAGCGAGGCGGAGAGGGCCCGCGGGCGGCCCCTGGGCGCCGTCGACAAGTACCGCCTGCGCAGGAAGTTCCCCTTGCCGCGGACCATCTGGGACGGCGAGGAGACGGTGTACTGCTTCAAGGAGAGGTCGCGCAACGCGCTCAAGGAGCTCTACAAGCAGAACCGCTACCCGTCGCCCGCCGAGAAGCGCAACCTGGCCAAGGTCACCGGGCTCTCGCTCACGCAGGTCAGCAACTGGTTCAAGAACCGACGGCAGAGGGACCGCAACCCCTCCGAGCCGCAGTCCAAGAGGTGAGCGCGCCCGCGGGAAAGGGAAAAACTTTCGCAAACTTTTTGGAGAGAGAAAGAGGAGGAGACAGGGAGTGGGGAATCGGCCGGGGACAAAGCAGCTCCAGAATCCGGGAGCTCCTTGAGGCAGGGAGAGAGGGAGAGGCAAGCGAGGGGGACGGAACTCTGCACATGGGCAGGGGGCGCAGGAGTGCGATCTGGCGTAGCAAGTCCCCGGGTTAAGAGACGGCACAGCCTGAGGCTCTTGCTGGACGCGGGGGCTCCGCGCTCTGCTTGATTTCCACTCTGTTTAGACCTTGTTCCCTGCCCTTTATCGCCTGTTGTCTTCCCTTCCCCAAAACTTCCTGCTGCTTTGCTTGATTCCTTGCCACCACCACCCCTCTCTCTTCTGCCCTCTGCCTTGTTAGATATGCTAATTTCCCGGCCCCACAAAAGGCCTTTGGTGCCCCCACCCTACCCCAATGCCCCATCTTTCTTTCTGGTTTAGCATCCATAATTCGCACTCTGAGCCACTGCCTCATTCCCAGCTTATTTCCCCCCTTTGCATCCCACCCCCATCCTTCTTGCCTGACCCTCTCCTTCCACCTTGTCTTTCTTTGTTTCTCCAACCACCACATGCCATCTCTTTTAACACCTTGCCTGCTCCTTTGCTTTTCCTGTCCTCCCCCCTTTCCCCTCCTGTCTGGCTTGCTCCCTCCCTTCCCCTGCCCTGTCTGTCCTAGCCTGGCTCTCATTCCTTGACAAACATGGCGTTTACCTTACAGCTTTCTTCTCTCTCTCTCTCTCTCTCTCTCTTTCCTCCCACCACTGCCCCAAATCTCTCACTTTTAAAAACACACCCACCCACCCTCTTCTTCCTTGCAGAGTGTAGAGCAAAATAAGTGTCTCTGGTAATCTCCTTGTCCCTTAAAAGTACTTTCTTCCCACTTCCTTCATCCTGCACTCAAGGCTACATAATTCCCCCACCCACCCACTAAAAAAGAAAGTGGTTATTTTGCTTCCAGATTCCCTGGGTGGAAAATCTCTCCTCCACCATGGCTTGCACCCCATAACCTTCAAGGTATCTCTGCCTGGGAGCACTTTTTGTAGCTTGATTCGTCCTGGGGTGGGGGTACCCCTTTATTCCTCTCCCAGTGCGAAAATATAAAAGTTCCTCTTCCCCCAGTGCTCCCCACTTTATCCACCAGCAAAACAGCTCCCCCCTCCAACACCAAAACTTCTGTGTGTTCTTTCCAATGCCATATCCTTTATTTCTCTGTTTACTCCTTTCCTTGCGCACGATTCATGAAATTATGATGTTCTGTATACATTGCCACAAACCGCCAACCTAACATTTAAAATCTGCTGTTGCCGTGGGGTGTGTGTGTGTGAAAAAAATGTTTCCAGATCTGCAAACTCCATACTACCATGGGAAGAAAAGTTTTCTTTCTCCATCTTAACCCTCTGCATAAATAGCAGCAGCCTCCTTTCCTAGGTTCCCTCAACACACCCAACAAACACGCAGTCGTCTCTGATCATCTCCTCTTCTTGTTGTCCAAGGAAACTTTCTCTCCCCTCTCCCATTTTTATTTGACAGCGTTAATCATTTGCCCAGGTTTTATGTCACCAAGGGGTGGGAAACCGAGAGAGGGAAACTTGAAGCTCCTTCCGTGGCAGGAGGGTTGCTAGTCCCTCTCCCCACCCCCTCCTTGCACACTCACTCGGGTCTCTTGTTGTGAAACTTGATTCTGCCTTCGGTTCAGATCAGTTTTCCTTTCCCCCACAAGACAGGAACCGGGGACTGCCCAGGTCTATAATCCCAAGCAGCCCCTTGCCCTCAAAGGCTCCCAGGACAGAGCACCACCTTTCTGATCTCCCTTTATTCCTTCCCTCGTTCCCACTGAAAATATACTGGTGCGTGACTTATTCCTAAAATACCACAGAGATTTAAATGTCTGAACCTGCAAAGCCTGCTCTCTCTTTTTCTTTCACTAGATCTGGGCCAATGGTTGGGTCAGTTGTCCAAGGCTAGGAGACTTAAAATCGGGGGGGGGGGAGGGCTTTGGCTAGTGAGAGGCCACCCCAGAGGTATTCTGTTGGGCCATCCAGGTGAGCTGACCTGCTTGCCTGCCCAAGGCACATTCCTCTCCTCCTGTTCCTCCTCTTCTCTTTTCTTGCCCTCTTGCTTGGTTTTGGAGAGGGGCTGGTTGACAGAAGGCAGGAAAAGTGGTGGGTGGTTGTTGTTTTTTGTGAAAGGAAAAACACCGCCCTCAACGGCCCATCTTCAAGCAAGGACACACAGGTTGTGCTGAGGCAGGTAGCTCCTTTCAATCCTTGGAGGACATAACATCAAAGCTACAAATGGCAGGCGAGGAAGGAGGGTGTAAAACCGGGAGGACCAGCTGCAAAAGTCTGGCCTGCGGAAGTTTGACCAGGCTACAATTCTTGCAAGGCCAGTTATTTGTTTGTTTGTTTTTTCTGATGGGTGTAAGGGGCAATTTGCTTCATTATTATTATTATTATTATTTGCTGGTAGGTACTCTGAGCAAAGATCCTCTGGCAAGCTTTGCAGGCTGCAGTTGCTCTCTTCCAGTGGTGGTTTAAATCAGTTCTTAAAATCCTGGGTCTTTATATCCCTTCTTTTTTCTAAGCACCCGGAAGCAAACGTAACCCAGTAGGAGGTGTTTTATACCTCCATGGGCTATATCACATGTTTTTATGTGGCTTACACACAAAAAAAACTCCAGAAAATATTTGATGCATGTTGCTTGCAGACATGTGTTTGCTATCGGCAAGTGTTGTAGCAGGAACATAACTGGCTGTGACTTCCTGGAGCCTGTTATCAATGTATTCAGTTTAAGGGTGTGGGGGAGGAATCCTTCACTCCCCAATTTCTCCCAGCCTCTTCCCCCAATCAGATCCCTGTTCTTCAGAAACCTCCATATATCTCCAGTCAGCTCACTGGCTTAGCAGGGCTAACTTGTTATAACACTGAACTGTTTGTGCTCCGTGTATCCTGAAGGCAAACTGGATCCTAACCACTTTCACCCCAGCTGCCCCCCCCCCAGTCCTGCTCCCCCACCTCCTCTGCATGGATAAACTCCAGCAACAAAACTAATTTGAATACTATTTTTAAAAGAAAAGGGAGTGTAAAACTTAAAACTAATTTAATCCTTTCTGGATCAATGAGATCTGGGAACGGATATTACGTGTGCACAAACCCACAGGATATGCTTCACCTCATAGCAAATATTTATTCCTGCCCCTATAACTGCAACCCTATGGGGAGTGGAGGCAGGCAGCCGAGTGATAGAAGCATAGAGTTGCAAGGGAGCATGTGTGAAATATTCTTGCTTTCTTTGCTGATCTAAAATAAAGTGTTCACTTGACTTCATGGGATGTGTTTAGAGGCATCTATCTTCCTCAGAAAGCAGGTGTGTCAGGTTGGGTCAAAGGCAGAAGTTGTTTTTTTGCTTTAAGGACTATTTTTTAAACCTGCGTTAACACTTTTTAATAGTTGCAAGGTATAGAAAACCAGCTCCAGCAAATATTCTTTAATCATTCTGCTTTGTACCGTTTAATCAGGAGCCTATCCCAGAGCAGGCCCTTCACGCCTCTTCCATCTCAATCCTCCCAAAATCTCTATACAGTGGTACCTCGGGTTAAGAACTTAATTCGTTCCGGAGGTCCGTTCTTAACCTGAAACTGTTCTTAACCTGAAGCACCACTTTAGCTAATGGGGCCTCCCGCTGCCGCTGCACGATTTCTGTTCTTATCCTTAAGCAAACTTCTTAACTCGAGGTAATATTTCTGGGTTAGCGGAGTCTGTAAACTGAAGCGTATGTAACCCGAGGTACCACTGTATTGGGGTCGGCAAGCTTTACCTTGCCTGGGCTGGTTTACTGCTGGAGAGCTCCCTCCGTGGGCTGTATTGCGGGTGCTCATGAGCACACCTGCATCCGCGCAGAAGTCATTTCCATCGCTGCTCGGTGAGTCCCTGCGCCACATGTCGGTTTAACGCAGTGCGCAGGGACTCAACGAGTGGGCAGCTCAGGGGCCGGTATAATGACCCCCGTGGGCCGCTTGTGGCCCATGGGCCTTAGGTTGCCGACCCCTGCTCTATGTCTTTCGGTTTTTCCTAAGGAGACATACTTAATTTTGCCCTTCCCCCATTTTTTATCCTCGCAACAACCCTTTGAGGAAGGTTAGGCTGAAAGAGAATGACTAGCCAAGATTTGCCCAGTGAGGGTCATGGCTGAGCAGGGCTTTGAACCTGCACGTTCCGGGTCAGACACTCTATAAGTGCAACACTACACCTGCTCTCTTGCAGAAATCTGCTGTTGTGTCCCTTTGCCTGCGTTAAGACTTGACTGCTTTTCAGCTTTTAGCAATATTGGTTATTGCGATGAATCTGCCTGGCGAGCAATTGTCATCTCTTTCCCTGGCTATTTTCTTTTTTGGCTGCAGAAAGGGGGCCACTAAACATTGCATACAAATTTATTCTCTTGTAGCTGCATTAATCAGTGCTTGCATTTAATTCTTTTTTTGCCATCACTTGAATCCTTTCCAGTAATGGTTTGTTTTGCAGATGAGTAAGATACATGGGCTGTAACATCCTCTTAGTTTAGACCACAAGCATTGTAGAAATGAGAGCGTTCGAAAAATAAACAACTCTGCTCCTTTGCTTATTTGCAGGGATGTGTGATCATCCCACTTCCAAACCCCTCTGAAACTTCACAGCTGCAATAACCTTGGGGGGCTTACTCCTTTCATTTCCCCAGTGGGCTGTTCCTTTCCTCCCATTGGGAAGTGCCAAGGAATTGAGGACATCTGACACATTTTGGCCAAGCTGTCACGGTGGTGATAAATCCATCAGTTCAAAGAGCTTTTAACAGGCTGTTGTGTCTGTGACATTTTGGAACAACTCTGACATTCTGGATATTGCCTGGTTGGCCATGTCTTGAAGTCCATCTTCCAGATGTCATATTAAAGACTTCTTTACTTGTTGTTTTCCTTACATGGGGAAAATGGCATCACTTGGTGGTAGAGTACTTGGTTTTCACGCTGAAAGTCCCATGTTCACTCCTCCCAGGTAGGGCTGGGAAGGACTCTTACCTGAAAGCCCTTCTGTGAGCAGGTACATCATCTTAAAACAAAACCTTGCTTCAGAATTCTTTCCTCCTACATAATAGACAGATCAGCTCATGTAATGGATGATTTGGCTAAAATTTCAGCATTTTTGGTTGGACCAGATGAACCACTGTGCCCTTTCCAACTCCACAATTCTGTGATTCTATAACCCACTAAAACAGGCATGATAATTATTTAAGCGAAATATTGTCCTGTTTACAGTCATACCTCGGGTTACAGACGCTTCAGGTTGCACGTTTTCAGGTGACAGACGCGCCAAAACCCGGAAGTACCAGAACGGGTTACTTCCGGGTTGCGGCACTCGCACATGTGTAGAAGCGCTAAATCGCGCTATGCGCAGAAGACCAAATCGCAACCCGCGAGTGTGGAGACGCGGCTCTGCAGGTTGCGAACGTGCCTCCTGCACGGATCACATTCACAACCCGAGCGTCCACTGTATTGAATTTATTTCATTAACAAGTCTCTTCCTATGAAACATCTCAAAGCAATTGGCTAGTTAGAAATACACACACACAAAAAAATCATTGTTTTATTGTCTTTAAAAAAACTATCTTGTGCTGGGATACTGTGAAGAGCGGGTTATAAAAGCAGCCTTCTAAATTCATTTTGTACCTGCCTATTGGCCACTTGAGACCAAGTGAAGATGCCCAGGTGCCAGGACGACGCCTGACGTCTCCACCACCTGAAGGTACCTGCCTAGGGATCCTTGGATCCTGACTGTTTTCACACACTAACAGCGCATCCTGTAGAATTCTATCCATTATCTTTTATCTGCACAGTCGGAATGAATTTCAGGAGCCAAAAAGTCGTATTGAAATATACGACTTTTGAGCCGTCTGGCCCCAAAATGGCAGCTAGGCATTCCATTTTGGCAACTGTAACCCTCGTTTAAGGAGCCATTAAGCACCTACCGGTGGCTTATATATCTGAGTTTCAATAAATAGTTAGCGTTTTAGGCCTCAGGCAGACGTGTAGAGAAAGAGAAGATAAATTAGCCACCTAATGTGTGATTCATGTAATGCATAATTAATTTATAAGATTTGCTGCCGTAAGAATTGAAGGCCACTGTCCTGCTTATTTGAAATATTGATAGGCTGCCTTTCGCATCCTGTCAAGGCAAGATCCAAATGTAATAAGCCATCATAAAACTTAATAAAATACCAGCGAACCAGCCCACTAAGCCCATCATCAGAACGCTAAAATCAAATGTTCATAGTTGAAACGGCACCAATTCAAACAGTTGTGCTATAAAACCCATTATGCAAAAGCAATTTTAAACAGTTGGGTTGTTAAAGCCCACTTTAAAGCCAGCAGTGATGGGACTTGGCAGGCATCACTTTGTAGCAGAGTTTCACAGGCATGGGGCCATAGCTGAGAAGGCCCTTTCCCCCTCTCTACCTCCCAGTCTAATTGACCTTGAAGGCAGGCACACTAGCCGGGCCTTGGAAGATGACTTCAAGGTGCAAGTAGGTCGTCTTTGGAATGCTCTTCCCTGTGGAGTTGTGCCTGGGCCTCAAGAATCCTCCAGATAATTCCAGAATATTCTGAATGTCATGGCGTGCAGCTCGCGAGGCCATAGCATGTTACAAACCAGGTTACCCAATACTGGTTTCTGAGCGCTAAGTCTGAACTAGGGCTAGTGGAAGGTTATTAGCCTGTCGGCAGCGCTCTCCAAAGCAGGCCAAAGCTGCATTTATTTATTTTTTGCAAACGTGATGGGATATATTGGCAGTCAGGAGGCATCGACGTCTTCATTTTTAATGGAGTTGCAGGCTTATTCAAAAGTAAGGTGATGGAGAGTGTTCAAGTCTCTGTCTTTCCTTCCTCCATCCTAAGTAGAAAGAAAATGGCTAGTGTGTTATTTTTTCTTTAAAGGCTTTAAAGCCCTGTATGGCCTAGGACCCTAGTACCTATGGGACCGCCTCTCCTGGTATGCCCCATGGAGGACCTTACGGTCTGCAAATAATAACATCTTGGGCCTCAAGAGAGATTAGGCTGGCCTTGACCAGAGCCAGGGCCTTTTCGGCCTTGGCCCCAGCCTGGTGGAATGCTCTGCCACAAGAGATCAGGGCCCTTGGTCAGGGCTCAGCCTGACTCCCCTTCCCTTTTTGTATAAGAACTAGTGTGAAAGAGGCCTCCCAGCATTCTCACAGGCCCATATAAGATCAGCGTACACAGTTGGGCCTGATGAGCATTTACTATTCCCAACCCAAATCGTGCAGAAAACCATCTAATTCAGATTTTTTATTTTATCCCGACTTGTTTTTAAGAGGTGATTTAATTATTGTTTGATTTTCTATCAATGTTTATATATGATGTTAGCCGCCCTGAGCCCGGTCTCAGCCAGGGAGGGTGGGATACAAATAAAAGATTAGTATTATGGTTATTATCATTATCATTATTATTATTTCTTATACATGCTGAGGAAGGGGTAATGACTGAGAAAGTGGCGGGCATGCATGCAAAAGGTCTCAGGTTCATTCCACAGCATCTCCAGTTGAGAAGGATGTCAGGAAACAGGTGATGTGAAAGATGTCCGCTAAGGAGCCACTGTCAGTCAGGGCAGGCAGTTCTAGAATAACGACAGGTAAATTGTTTGCTCTGACAAGGCAGCTTACTATGGCCAGTGCCAAGGGCCTTCTGGTGGTTCCCTCATTGTGAGAAGTGAGGTTACAGGGAACCAGGCAGAGGGCCTTCTCAGTGGTGGCACCCACCCTGTGCATTGCCCTCCCATCTGATGTCAATGAAATAAACAACTATCTGACATTTAGAAGTCATTTGAAGGCAGCCTTCTTTAGGAAAGTTTTTAATGTTTGATTCTATTTTTAATATTCTGTTGGAAGCCACCCAGTGTGGCTAGGGAAACCCAGGATATAAATAAACTATTATTATTATTATTATTATTATTATTATTATTATTACTATTGCGTACCTTTGGTCTCAACTCTGAGTAACCCCATGGAAATTAACGGACATGACTAACTTATGGATATGTGCCTGGTGAACTCATTGTATTGTTCTAGTCATCCTCTGAAAGCTTCTTTATTTTGGCAACCTTACCCAGACACAATCAGTTGTCTATCTTCATCTGTGTTTTAATGATAATTATTTTATGTACGCTTGTTCTTACTGGTTTCCTGGATTTTACATGTGTTTCGTCTACAGTTTTGTTATATGCAGCCACTTAGCTATCTGATTTCATAAATATTTTGACATTAATGCAAGTGCATTGATTTCAGTGGGTCTACCGTGAGTAGAGCAGAATTGGATGCAACCCATACTCAGACCTTCCAAGTGCCCCTGTTTTTCAGGGACAGTCCCAGATTTACTGAAGTCGCCACGGTTTCTGGTTTGATCCCAGAATGTCCCACTTTTTCTTAGGACGTTCCTATTTTCATTGCAGAAATGTTGGAGGGTATTAAGTTATGTAACCCCTGAGCAAGGAGATAAGTACCGTAACTATTCAGCCTTTAGAAGACATCTGAAGGCAGCCTTGTTTAGGGATGTTTTAAAAAAATATTTAATGTATTATTATGTTTTTATATATGCTGGTAGCTTCCCCACAGTGGCTGGGGCAACACAGTCAGATGGGCGGGGTATAAATAATAAAATTATTATTATTATCATAGAATAGGGTGTCCTTATTTTCATCAGAAAAATGTTGGAAGGTGTGGAGTTTATGAATCCTGGAACAGCAGGACCTCCTCTAACCTCAAATAAAATTACAAAATGTGTTTTTAATAAATCAACCCCTCACCTTCCCAGGCTTCAGAAGTGACATGTGTTGCAGCATATGTTATTGTGAGAAACCTCAATATGCTTGCAGAGCTTTGGATTGTGACCAGCGGTTTTCTTAGGATGGTGCCTTAGCTTGGGAGCTACTTTCTGTAGGCTGGGGGGGGGGGAGTTGTCCAAGGATTTCCAGATCTCAGAGTAACTTCAGCTAGTGCAGAATTCAGTGGCCAGGTTGCTCACCTGAGCAAGACGGTCTGAGCATATTACACCGATCCTGGTCCGACTGCACCAGCTACCAATTAGTTTCCTGGCCCAATTCCAAGTGCCGGTTTTGACCCATAAAGCCTTAAACTGCTCGGAACACAATTCCTCAAGGACCGCCTCTTTCCATATGAACCTACCCAGACTCTGAGATTGTCTTCTGAGGCCCTCCTTCGTGTGCCGCCTCCTCAAGAGGTCCAAAGGGTGGCAACGTGAGAACAGGGCCTTCTCTGCAGTGGCTCCCCGTCTGTGGAATGCTCTCCCCAGGGAAGTTCACCTGGTGCCTTCATTATACACCTTTAGGCGCCAGGCAAAAACGTCACTTTTTCACCTTTGGTTGATCTGATTGACATCCTATGCCCTTTTAAAATGTGGGGTTTGTGTGTTTGGGGGGGGAGGTTATTGGGTTGTTGTTTTGATTTTGATTGTGCATTTTGTGGTTTTACATTTTGATTTTACTCCGTGAACCGCCCTGAGATCTCCAGGTATAGGGCAGTGTATAAATCCAATTAATAAAAATAATAATGACAACAACTTCAGAACCCAAGAAAAAGCACAGGAAGTGCAAGTGTCTCATTCATTCTTATTTTCTTTTATTCCTCTAAATTTTCACAATGTCCAGAATAGATTTTTCACGTCTTTCCCCAGTGGGGTGAGGCAGGTCATGAGCCAGCCTTTGTCAGCCTGGTGACCTCCAGCTATCTTGGACCACAACTCCCATCATTCCCAGTCAGCACACCGATGGGAGTTGTATTCCAAAACAGCTGGGGGCTGATGGGAGTTGTAGTGACAGCTGGAGATCACCTGGTTGGTGAAGACCATAGCTGTCAACTGTCCCTTATTTGGGGGGAAAGTCCCGTATCCCAGGGCCGTGTCCCGCTGCTGTCCCTTATTGATGATGTCCCTTAAATTTCCCGGGTTTCAAAGGAAGCAGCTCCTGTCCCTCCCTCCCTGCCGGCCAGGGAGGAGGGAGGCTCCAACTGTGTTGCTTGGCTGCGTTGCTCACCCAATAAGGAGTCTGAGAACGGCTGGGGGGATGGAGCTTGCATGGCTTGTGCCAATCAAATCAGCCGCGTTGCCTGGGGACTCGCCTTTGCTCAGCGCTTCCCAGCAGAGAGGTGACGGTGGTTTTCCTTGCTGCATCCCCTTTGCTGGGTTGCTGCGCTGTGGGAACCACTGCTTGAGGCTTTGTTTGGCTGCTGGCTGGGCTTTCTGCCTTTGGCTTGGAGGGGCTCAGAAGTTGAACATACCTGTGTTCGGAAAATCCCTTATTTTGGCTGGTGATCCCTTATTTTCGAGGCTGGTGGTCCCTTATTTTCAAATCTGTAAGTTGACAGCTATGGTGAAGACTACTTGTGAATAAACTATGAAGGGGGATCAAAAACGACTATAAGTCGTGTGCCTGGATGCAAAAAAGTCTCCTACATGGTTTGGCGTTCCCAATGCATTTCAATATTTATCAAGAGTAAAATGATACGATCGAAACGTGTTTGGATGATCAATCTTCGCATCTCTTTTCCTCCCTTCGTACAGACATGCAAGCTGTCCCTGCCTCAGCCTGATGGTTGAAGCTGATTGTAACTGGCTGAATTGTTTTCATAATGCACCTACTAGCCCAAATACTCTGGAGGCAAGCCAACTGAGTTTAATCGTTTTCAAGGACCCATTGATCCCAAAGGAAGAATTAGGCATTGGGCTCAACATCTCACCCATTGAAATCAGTGGGGTTTGAAAAGTACTGAAATTGGGCTCGACTGTGCCTTAAATAATTAAAATGTGCACCATAAATAATGCAAGAATTTAAATAGTATAAATGGCAGGGGGTTAAGTGAGAACCTTCTTGTATATTTATATGCATGTAGTTGAAAATCAATAACAAATACTAATATAAATTATTATTTTTTTAAAAGAAAGAAAGCAAGATCATGTGGGACCTGGAAATCACGTGGGACTAGATTGCCATAGCTTTAAAGACATTCTTTGTCCTTGAGAATAAATATTTATATAGCTTCCAATCTTTGCTCAGAAGCTGTGTGCATTTTTCTGCATGGTAGCAAGTTCAGATAGCAGAAAATATTCCATCATTTTAAAAAAAAATCAGCGGTGGGAGAAAAAAGAAGTTATATAGGTGAGAAGGAATGATAGCCAACTTTGAGAAAGAATTATAGGGGTGTCTGTCGTCCATAATTTTATCATTCCAAAAGTTGATGGCAAGGCGCATCTTTCTATGAATTTATACTGTTGGTTCTTTGTTGCCCTTCTTTGGAAAGTTACCATAAAGTCATTTGTCTTTTCCAAATTAAACTTGGGGAATGGCTTCAGCCAGGGTTAGAAATGGAGATATATAAGCTAGCTGCTAAATGGCTCTTTAAACCAAGGTTACAGTTGCCAAAGCATTGCGTCTAGTTGCTATTTTGGGTTGTTGTTGTTTAGCCGTGTCCGACTCTTCGCAACCCCATGGACCAGAGCACGCCAGGCACTCCTGTCTTCCACTGCCTCCCGCAGTTTGGTCAAACTCATGCTGGTAGCTTCGAGAACACTATCCAACCATCTCGTCCTCTGTCGTCCCCTTCTCCTTGTGCCCTCCATCTTTCCCAACATCAGGGTCTTTTCCAGGGAGTCTTCTCTTCTCATGAGGTGGCCAAAGTAATGGAGCCTCAGCTTCACGATCTGTCCTTCCAGTGAGCACTCAGGGCTGATTTCCTTAAGAATGGATAGGTTTGATCTTCTTGCAGTCCATGGGACTCTCAAGAGTCTCCTCCAGCACCATAATTCAAAAGCATCAATTCTTTGGCGATCAGCCTTCTTTATGGTCCAATTTATGGCCATTTTGGGGTTAAGACGGCTCTAAAGTCTTATTTTTCAAGTGATGGACTGGCTGTAATTGATTATCAGTTAAACACCTGGCTAGTTCAGATGACAACCTTAGCTAGATTAAGAGATTTGAGAACTTAAAGAAGAAAAGTCTCTTGATCCAGGGACAGTCCACATATATATTGGCCTGTTCCAACCTCTTTTTCTTAATGGGGAGTGCTCCCGCTCAGGCTGCACAGAAAAAGCATGTTGGTTTCTCAAATTCATTCTGATTGTGCAGAGAAAATATAATTCTACAGGATGGGGTGTTAGTGTGTGAAAACAGGCAAGACCCAAGGATCCCCAGACATTCACCTCCAGATGATGGAGATGTCTTCATCCTAGCATCTTCATTTGGTCGCAAGTGGCCAGTAGCCAGGTGCAAAATGCTGGCAGCAGCTTAGTAGCAGAGCCTCTGCGTTGCATTCCAAAGGTCCCAGGTTCGGGGATAGTGCGCACCCCGGAAATGATCTCTTTCAGCTTCTGCCTTCTGGAAGAAGGTACAGAGTTATAAAGACTAGGACTAGCCCCCTGAGAAACAGTTTCTATCCAAATGCGATTTTGGTTTTAAACGCAGCGTAAGGTAGTCTCTGTGTGAGAAAACTGTATTCAGTTATGGGGTATCAGAGTTTTTAGGGGTTAACCAGGCTGGGATAGCTGGGATAGCAGGCTTGTGGGTTTTTGAATGTCTGATGTAGATTTTTCAGTTTCGTTGTTCTGTATGGGATAGTGACAATAAAGATTATCATATCGTATCGTATCCTAGCATATTCAGGTAGGGCTGGGAGAGAACCCTGTCCGGAATCCTGAAGAGCTGCTTTCAGTGGTGTCCAAACTTTTTTCAAAGGATACCAAATTTGATGAAATTAAAGGGCTGTGAGGGCCAACCAAAATCCACAGGGGCCGGATTAAACCTACCGGCAGGCTGGATTCACTGGATGAGGAAGAGGAGTGCGGGGGGCGTAACTCCCCCGGCAACACAATCCCGGTGGGGTGCCATCGTGGCTGCCCTCGCAGGCGGCGCACCATGGCCCCAGGACACGCGCCATGCCTCAGCAGGCGGCACACCACACCCCCAGGATGCGCACCAGCCCCCCGCCTGCTCTCCCCCCCATGCCAGAGCATGAAGCTCCGCCACTGGCCGGATTAGGTCCCCAAAACGGACTTTGGTCATGCCTGGTAGATGGACCAGTGGTTTAAACTGTCTATATGAAGCAGTGAATCTAATGCACACCTCAATTTTCAGAACCTTGAAACCAAAAAAGCATTTGCTGGGGAATGTAAATGCGCATCAAATCTAATGCGCACCCTAATATTCGTGAAATTGCATTCGAGTAAATACGGTTAAAGGTAAAGGGACCCTTGACCGTTAGGTCCAGTCGTGGACGACTCTGGAGTTGTGGCGCTCATCTCGCTTTATTGGCCAAGGGAGCCGGCGTACAGCTTCCAGGTCATGTGGCCAGCATGACTAAGCCGCTTCTGGCGAACCAGAGCAGCACACGGAAACGCCGTTTACCTTCCCACCGGAGTGGTACCTGTTTATCTACTTGCACTTTGACGTGCTTTCAAACTGCTAGGCTGGCAGGAGCAGGGAACGAGCAATGGGAGCTCACCCTGTCGTAGGGATTCGAACCGCTGACCCTCTGATCGGCAAGTCCTAGGCTCTCTGGTTTAACCCACAGCGCCACCCACGTCCCTTTTGTATAAATTTTTGCAACTGGTGTTCTAAGGAAAGGTCGAAAAATTAATCCTGATAACATTTAGGCTGGATGTGTGTGCTCCTCTGTGTATGGGGTTGCCTAATGCCACACTCGATAGCAGAGAAGATGCCAAGAACACATTGTTCCCCCTGGCATTTCTCCAAATGGCTGCAAATAGCTGGGCGTCCCCCACATTTGTGCCTCTCTTGAGGGCACTTTAGCAGGAGGCAGAGAGGCTGGCCTGAGGCTATATCTTTCCTTTTGATTCCTTTTGCAATAAACATATTGGACTGCCCTGGAAATAGGAGCCGGAGAGGACATTTGCCTCTTCTCTGTGCTTGAGGAAATGGAAATACAGTGGTACCTCGGGTTAAGAACTTAATTCGTTCCGGAGGTCTGTTCTTAACCTGAAACTGCTCTTAACCTGAAGCACCACTTTAGCTAATGGGGCCTCCTGCTGCCGCTGTGCTACTGCTGCACCATTTCTGTTCTCATCCTGAAGCAAAGTTCTTAACCCGAGGTAATATTTCTGGGTTAGCGGAGTCTGTAATCTGAAGCGTCTGTAACCCGAGATACCTCTGTATATAAAAACATTAAAAAATAGTCCAGTAGCACCTTAGAGACCAACTAAGTTTGTTCTTGGTATAAGCTTTCGTGTGCACGCACACTTCTTCAGATACACTGAAACAGAAGTCACCAGATCTTTATACACTGTCCCTCAGAAAGTTTGGAAAAGAAACAGAAACAGTGGAAAGTTTGCTGGCCCTGCACTAGATCATAGAATCATAGAATCATAGAGTTGGAGGAGACCCCAAGGGCCATCGCGTCCAACCCCCTGCCAAGCAGGAAACACCATCAGAGCACTCCTGACATATGGTTGTCAAGCCTCTGCTTAAAGACCTCCAAAGAAGGAGACTCCACCACACTCCTTGGCAGCAAATTCCACTGTCGAACAGCTCTTACTGTCAGGAAGTTCTTCCTAATGTTTAGGTGGAATCTTCTTTCTTGTAGTTTGGATCCATTGCTCCGTGTCCGCTTCTCTGGAGCAGCAGAAAACAACCTTTCTCCCTCCTCTATGTGACATCCTTTTATATATTTGAACATGGCTATCATATCACCCCTTAACCTCCTCTTCTCCAGGCTAAACATGCCCAGCTCCCTTAGCCGTTCCTCATAAGGCATCGTTTCCAGGCCTTTGACCATTTTGGTTGCCCTCCTCTGGACATGTTCCAGTTTGTCAGTGTCCTTCTTGAACTGTGGTGCCCAGAACTGGACACAGTACTCCAGGTGAGGTCTGACCAGAGCAGAATACAGTGGCACTATTACTTCCCTTGATCTAGATGCTATACTCCTATTGAGGCAGCCCAGAATTGCATTGGCTTTTTTAGCTGCCGCGTCACACTGTTGGCTCATGTCAAGTTTGTGGTCAACCAAGACTCCTAGATCCTTTTCACATGTACTGCTCTCAAGCCAGGTGTCACCCATCTTGTATTTGTGCCTCTCATTTTTTTTGCCCAAGTGCAATACTTTACATTTCTCCCTGTTAAAATTCATCTTGTTTGTTTTGGCCCAGTTCTCTAATCTGTCAAGGTCGTTTTGAAGTGTGATCCTGTCCTCTGGGGTGTTAGCCACCCCTCCCAGATTGGTGTCATCTGCAAATTTGATCAGGATGCCCTTGAGTCCATCATCCAAGTCGCTGATAAAGATGTTGAATAAGACCGGGCCCAAGACAGAACCCTGTGGCACCCCACTAGTCACTCTTCTCCAGGATGAAGAGGAACCATTGATGAGCACCCTTTGGGTTCGGTCAGTCAGCCAGTTACAAATCCACTGAGTGGTAGCATAGTCAAGACCGCATTTTACCAGCTTCTTTACAAGAATATCATGGGGCACCTTGTCAAATGCCTTGCTGAAATCAGATGCTCACCTAGAGCTGACAAGGTCCCTGCTTGGAGGGTCTGGATCTGACGTGCATGGACGGCAGCATTGGGTGGTGTAGGCAAAGATGGCCAACGACCTGAATGGCTTTGGAAGAGAACTGGGCAAATTCATGCGGTGGCTTCTAGCAGTCGGAGGCAGCAATGGCTCTGAATCGCAGTTGCTAGAAGCCACTGGAGGGGAGAGTGTTGCTCTTGTGCCTCAGTTCTGCTTGCGGGTTTCCCACAGTCATCCGGTTGGCCCCTGTGAGAACAGGGCGCTGGGCCTGTTGAGATGGCAACGTTGACTTGTTTAATTAGAGAAGAATCATTACCGGCATTCTTTTTTGTAAGGATTGCAAACTTCTTATGGACTTCCTGCATGAAAGAGACAATTAACTTGTAATAAAGTGGTACCTCGGGTTAAGTACGTAATTCGTTCCGGAGGTCCGTTCTTAACCTGAAACTGTTCTTAACCTGAAGCACCACTTTAGCTAATGGGGCCTCCTGCTGCTGCTGCGCTGCCAGAGCACAATTTCTGTTCTCATCCTGAAGCAAAGTTCTTAACCTGAGGTACTATTTCTGGGTTAGCGGAGTCTGTAACCTGAAGCATATGTAACCTGAAGCATATGTAACCTGAAGCGTATGTAACCCGAGGTACCACTGTATCTGGATTTGAAGTTTTTTTTTAAAAAAATTGGTTTATAGAAGATAGAAGGGTTGGATGAGTGAATACTCTATTTAGCTGCAGGACAGAGAACCGAAAGTCTTTTTTTTCTTTATAATTTTCTTACTTTTTTCCTTTTCTTCTTCTTTCTGCTTCTGTTCTTTTTTTTAGATTAAGTATCTGTATTATTTCCATGTATTATAGAAAGAGACTTAGTAGTGGATGGGATTTTTTGTATATGCTTGAATAAGTATCAATAATAATTTTGTTGTTGTTGTTGTTGTTGTCAGCAACAACAAGATGGCCCATTGGCCTGACCCAGCAGAGTTCTTATCCTGGGCTGTACCATTTCAGGTGATAGGAGAGAGAGCTGTGTGTCTGCTCTACTTTAAACCTCAAGACAAAAAGCAGTTCTCTCTATATGGAAAATGGGTGTCTTCAGGGAGGATAGCCTCAAAATCTCCCCCATCACGTGCTAGTTTTCTGTGCGCAGGGAGACTCTCCCTGCCCCCAGAACAAGGCTTTGTTCAAATCAAATTGGAGGCCTCGGTCCAGTATACCTGAAGGAGCATCTCCACCTCCATCGTTCTGCCCGGACACTGAGGTCCAGTGCCAAAGGCCTTCTGGCGGTTCCCTCGCTGCGAGAAGCCAAGTTACAGGGAACCAGGCAGAGGGCCTTCTCGGTAGTGGCACCCGCCCTGTGGAACACCCTCCCACCAGATGTCAAAGAGAGAAATAACTACCAAACTTTTAGAAGACATCTAAAGGCAGCCCTGTTTAGGGAAGCTTTTAATGTTTAATAGGTTATTGTATTTTAGTGTTTTGTTGGAAGCCGCCGAGAGTGGCTGGGGAAACCCAGCCAGATGGGCGGGGTATAAATAAATAATAATAATTATCATTAACATTATTAACATTATTATTCACTGCTCTTTCTCTCTTGCCTTGCAGCGAGTCGGATGGCAACCCCAGCACGGAAGATGAGTCCAGCAAGGGGCAAGAGGACTTGTCTCCCCACCCGCTTGCCAGCGCCTCTGACGGAAGTGCCACCTTGAGCCTTCCTGGCCACATGGAGCCCGTCTACATGCAGCAGCTTGGAAACTCCAAAATATCTCTCAGCTCCCCCGGGGTTTTGTTGAACGGGAACTTGGTGCCTGCCAACCCGTCCCCCGTTTTCCTTAACGGCACCTCTTTCATCCAGGGGCCCAATGGGGTGCTCCTCAACGGGCTCAACGTGGGCGCTCCCTCGCCCTTGAATCCACCCAAAACGTCTCCGAGCTCTTTGAGCAACGGCATGCCCTTGGCCGACATGCTGGCCTCTTCGTCGGAAGACGTGAAAGACTTCAAAATCCTCCAGACTTCCATGTCCAACTCGGCGGCCCCGTTGACGACGACAACGACGACAGCATACAGTCCCAGTTCTGCCTCTTTCTCAGGTCTGATACCAAGCCTTGAGGTGAAGAGGGAAGAAAGTGAAGAAGCCATTGCCTCGCAAGACGGCAGCTCCATTGTTACCTTCACAGGCCCTGTCCAAATAAACCAATATGGCGTCGTCCAGATTCCCAATTCGGCAACAAACGGAGGCCAGCTCCTCAACGGAGGCATCAGTTTTTCACCAGTCCAGCTCCCTCCGGTATCGACAGCAACTTCCCAAGGTAGGTTTTTCTCTTTCTTCAATTTGCTACGGGGTTCGGAAAGCTGAGCCTCTTGCATATTTTCGTAGTTGTGCTTCGTACGTCAGATTTCACCCGCCTGCACCCCTCCAGGACCGCAACCCCCATCAGCCCCTGCCAGCATGGCCGTGATGTCTATGGCTGGGCTTGCTGAGGCTGATGGGAGTTGTAGGTCAAAACATCAGGTGGGTGAACGCTCCTGTATGGAATGCGTAAGCGGGTCCCTTCTGTACACAGAAGGAATTTTTCCGCAAAGAGAAGGTCATTTGATCAAGTCATTTGAGCGTCTCTACCCCCATCGTTCTTCCTGGACACTGAGGTCCAGTGCCGAGGGCCTTCTGGCGGTTCCCTCACTGCGAAAAGCAAAGTTACAGGGAACCAGGCAGAGGGCCTTCTTGGTAGTGGCACCCGCCCTCTGGAACGCCCTCCCATCAAGGAAATAAACAAGAATCTGACGTTCAGAAGACATCTGAAGGCAGCCCTGTTTAGGGAAGCTTTTAATGTTTGATGGACTATTGTATTTTAATAATTTGTTGGAAACCGCCCAGAGTGGCTGGGGAAACCCAGCCAGATGGGCGGGGTTTAAATAAATTATTATTAAAATTGTGGCAGTTTTTGACAGTCCTCCCTGGGCCACCTCACATGCTGTCCCTGAGGGGTGGTGGTAGTGGTCTCTCTACAGCCTCCTTCCCCAAAAATGGCTCCTGGAGGTTGAGTCTTCTGGAGCAGAATGGCTCCTGGGCGTTACCAGAAAATTGAAGAAACCCCCCTCCTCATGTGTGGCTTATTCTCATTGATCTAAGCCTAGGATTCTGGCTGCTAGATATTGAGGATCCCTCCCCCCACTCAAGTGTCACATGCATCCAATAAAGAAATGAGCTGCACACCATCTAAATCAGACCTGAAAATGTCTATAGGGTACCTTTGGTTGAAATTTAAAGCACTTAAACAATGTCGAATCAGGGGGAAGCAACCATTTTCTCCCACAGTTTTCTAAAACGCGCATCTCTTCAAATATGTCTCTTGAAATAGCGAAGCAAGCTTAGTTTCGTGTGTGTTTTTATTTTATTTTTTAAAAAGTTACCCTGCTCTGTAAAAGTGGCTAGCATACAGGAAAAGGAGTGGAAAGGAAGTTTCTATGTTGGGGAGCCAACACTGAGAAGGCCCTCTCACAGATCCCTACCTGCATTGCATCTGAAGGGAGAGGGCATGTGTAGAAGGTTCTCTGGGGAATAATAATAATAATTTTATTATTTGCACCACACCCATCTGACTCATGGCACATGCAGGAGGAGATGGCCATTAAGATAGCCTGGTCCCAAACCATTTAGGGCAGAGGTGGCTAAGCTGTGACTGTCCAGAAGTTGGACTACAACTCCCATCATCCCTAACCATTAATCATGTGGACTGGAACTGATGGAAGTTGTAGTCCAAAGCACCTGGAGGTCCGCAGGTTAGCAACCCTTAATACAGGGCTTTAGAAGTCAAAACCAGCATGTTGAATTTGGCTCAGAAATGGATTGGGAGCCAGCATAGCTGTTTTCAAACTAGTTAGATGTGTCCCTTATTCCCAGGCCCTGTTAGTAACCTAGATTACCATAGTTTCCAAACACTATTTTTTTCCTTTGGTCATTTTTGCATTTATAAAAGGCAACCAAAGTAAGCAGATCTCAAATGCAAACAGTAAGGTAACCTATGTTGGTCAAGTGAGAGCTCATTTTCTGAACTTGGTATATGATCTCCCTGGACCGAATTTTAATTGCATCAAACAACTTGCTGCAAGGAGCCAAGAGCTTCACATCTCCAGTCTCCGTTTTTCTTCTATCCCGGAGGAGATCCTTATAAATAGTTCTCCACTCCACCATCTGGGCTTCTCAAAATACCTCTTTGTTCTTTGCTGAGCTAGAATTTGCATTCCGGTACCTTCTGCAAAAAGACTAATCTGACTGCGGTTCACATTAAGTTGCTTTGCTTTGCTTTTCGGTACTGATTCTCTCCCCCCCCCCCCAATTTTTTTTTAATTCATTTTATAACACAAATAAACAACACAAACAGAAAAACCACCAATACAAACAAATTCTTGTCTTATCCTTATTTTTTCTAAACATTATTAGGTGAGCTTCCCCAAGTCCCCCCATCTGATTTTCATTTTACCTCATCTTTAGCAGTTTACATATATCATAATTATTTAGCATTTTTTTATCACACTTTCTTTTACCATAATAATCTTCACATTTTATCCCTTACAAGTAATACTATTTTAAAATACACTATCTTCTACTTCTAACCCTTCAGCCTATATCTACTTCCAAAGCTATTCTAAGATTTAAATATTAACATATTTTTTCAAATATTCTTTAAACTTCTCCCAATCTTCCTCCACATCTTAAGAGGAGGATTAAAAGGCCAGGGAACTGACTTCTTCAATTGTGTTAACGTGCGAGTCATTCGTAACTTTTGGACAATGCCGCAGTTGCTGGATAAAACTGCCTGAGAGCCAGTGTGGGGTAGCGGTTAGTGGGTTGGATCAAGGACCCAGGAGATGAGGGTTCAAATCCCCGCTCAACCATGAAGCTCTATGGATGACTTTGTGCCAGTCACAGTCTCTCAGCCTAACCTGCTTCACAGAGTTGATGCATAGCTGTCAACTTACAGATTTGAAAATAAGGGACCAGCAGCCTCGAAAATAAGGGATTAGCAGCCAAAATAAGGGATTTTTCGAGCGCAGGTATGTTCAACTTCTGAGCCCCTCCAAGCCAAAGGCAGAAAGCCCAGCCAGCAGCCAAACAAAGCCTCAAGCGGTGGTTCCCACAGCGCAGCAACCCGGCAAAGGGGATGCAGCAAGGAAAACCACCGTCACCTCTCCGCTGGGAAGCGCTGAGCAAAGGCGAGTCCCCAGGCAATGCGGCTGGGCACAAGGCATGCAAGCTCCACCCCCCAGTCGTTCTTAGACTCCTTATTGGGTGAGCAATGCAGCCAAGCAACACAGTTGGAGCCTCCCTCCTCCCTGGCTGGCAGGGAGGGAGGGAGAGGAGCTGCTTCCTTTGAAACCCAGGAAATTTAAGGGACATCATCAATAAGGGACAGCAGCGGGACACAGCGCTAGGATAAGGGACTTTCCCGCCAAATAAGGGACGGTTGACAGCTATGGGTTGATGCGAGGATAAAATTGGTGCAGGGGAGGGGGGAGAATCATAGAATTGTGGAGTAGGAAGGTCCAACCCCTGGCAATGCAGGAAACTTTTGCCCATCATGATCCCACAGCCCTGAGATTAAGAGCCTGATGTTCTACCGACAGAAAAAAATTAATCGTGCCACAGAACCAGAAACTGATTATTCAGCCTGGCTGGGCCTGATCTGAGCTGCAGTCAAAAACATCTTCGATGGCACCAGGTTCGTGAAGGCAGTGGCCAAGGAGTGATTAGCAGTGCATCATCATCCTGAAGCTCCTTTTCTCCTAATTCAGATCTTTATAGATCTAATCCAGGCGCCTGGAGCCAAGCGTTCGGATGTGTCATATCCTGGTCTTGGCAAGGCAGCAAGAATAGCACTCAGATGAGCAACTTGCTCTGACAACGCCTGAGAATGAACAGAAGGCTTAAAGTCGGGGTGGCTAACCTGAGGCCCTGCAGATCTTTCTGGACCACAATTCCCACCACTGGCCATTAGCCAATGGCTGGTGGGAGCTCTACTGCAGCAGCATCTTTTTGGTCATTGATTAGCCATCCTTGGCTTAAAGGGGCAGGCCTTTCTTTGGCTTGGAGCTTAGAGCTCCTCTGTGTGCATTTCCTGCCTTGCTTGAAAGACATACATTGGCTCCCAGTATGTTTCCAAGTACAGTTCAAAGTGTTGGTGTTGACCTTTAAAGCCCTAAACAGCCTTGGCCCAGTATACCTGAAGGAGTGTCTCCACCCCCATCGTTCTGCCCGGACACTGAGGTCCAGCGCTGAGGGCCTTCTGGCGGTTCCCTCATTGCGAGAAGTGAGGTTACAGGGAACCAGGCAGAGGGCCTTCTCGGTAGTGGCGCCTTCCCTGTGGAACGCCCCCCCCCCATCAGATGTCAAAGAGATAAACAACTACCTGACATTTAGAAGACATCTGGAGGCAGCCCTGTTCAGGGAAGTTTTTAATGTGTGACATTTTAATGTACCGTATTTTTTGCTCTATAAGACTCACTTTTTCTCTCCTAAAAAGTAAGGAGAAATGTGTGTGCGTCTTATGGCGCGAATGCAAGCTGCGCAGCTATCCCAGAAGCCAGAACAGCAAGAGGGATTGCTGCTTTCACTGTGCAGCGATCCCTCTTGCTGTTCTGGCTTCTGAGATTCAGAATATTTTTTTTCTTGTTTTCCTCCTCCAAAAACTAGGTGTGTCTTGTCATCTGGTGCGTCTTATAGAGCGAAAAATACGGTATTTTTAATCTTTGTTGGAAGCCGCCCAGAGTGGCTGGCGAGACCCAGCCAGATTGGTGGGGTACAAATAATAAATAATAATAATAATTATTATTATTATTATTACTGGGCTGACAAGGAAGGGGCTGGTGGTTACTCAGAGTGGGGGGAAGATTGTAGGTTGCGGCTTCAGGTGTGGGTTCCGACTGGTTCTTTCCCCCCAAATCCATGTGGGAACTTCAACCTTCTTCATTCCTGCAGCTCTTGGGGTGATGTGCACCTCTGCTCTCAATCATAGGAGCCAACTCCTAGGGGTCAAGGTCCCTTTGCCCCCCCCCATAAAATATTTGAGTGGCTAGGCCTCCCCAAAGTTGATGAGTATTGCCATTCAGATGGTGTGCGTGCACCGCATCATGTGATTCATTGTGTGGGGTGGGGCTTACCCCCCCCCCCAATATTTTTCCAAGTTGGCACTCCTGTTCTCTATCCACTCTTTTTTGTCTCTCTGACTGAGTTTGGACCTAAGGAAGCCATATTTCCCTGCTATGTGAATGAGTTCAGACCTCAGTGCTCTCTCTTCCTCTTGTGTGGGTTAAAAGAAGGTGCACAGAATCTTCTGCTTTCACTTACAAGCTAACGCAGTTCCCCATGATGGCTGAACTCAAGAAACCATTGTTTACCACAACTATGGTTGGTGGGAAGGTGCTGGTAGCAAGCTGTAACTCCAGGCTACTTCTGGCTTGTCCTCAGGCTGGTGACGGTGACAAAATCTGTTAAATCTGTTAGAGCATCATACAATATAGGTGTTTGGGAGGGGAAACAGAGATATTTCTACACCCCACTTAGGATTTCATGGTGAAAAAATTTTCTGCTGCTGAAAAGCTAGACTGTTGTTAAAATGCATCTTTTATGAAAGCCCAGGAGACACAGAAACACATTATTATTGTTATTATTACTACTATTATTGTTAACATTTTCATTAACATTATCAAAAATTTGTATAATGCCCTTCATCTGTAAATCTCAGGGCAGTTCACAACATAAAATCACAATATAAAAAACACAAAATACATTATTATTACTACTATTTAATTACAGTGGTACCTCAGGTTAAGAACGTAATTCGTTCCGGAGGTCCGTTCTTAACCTGAAACTGTTCTTAACCTGAGGTACTACTTTAGCTAATGGAGCCTCCTGCTGCCGCTGCACGATTTCTGTTCTCATCCTGAAGCAAATTTCTTAACCTGAGGTACTATTTCTGGGTTAGTGGAGTCTGTAACCTGAAGCATCTGTAACCCGAGGTACTACTGTAATGTGTCTTTTAGGAAAGCCACAGGAGACACAGAAGCACATGGGCTGTGGGACCTTGACTTTGCAATCTTTATTCTACACTGATGCACAACTTTAAGACTGTTCCTGTTTGTTTGTTTTCCCCTTCCTCTCCCACCGCAGGCAACTTGCCGCTAAATCAAAGCACACCCAGCAGCGGCACGTTTACAAGCGACTCCGCCGCGACGCAGCAAGGGAAAGTGTTTTTCAGCAACCTTCCTCCCAGCGCGGTGGTCTACACGCTCCCCAACTCCAGCCAGGCAATCGGGCCAGTCAAGCAGGAAGGTCTGGAGGCCAGCCTGGTGTTTTCTCAAGTCATGTCCCTCGGCCAGAACCCGCAACTCCACGCAACCCTGCCTTCGGACAGCCTCTCCGGCGGGGGGCCTTCCTCGCTCGTCAACGTCACCCTGTCACATAACTTTTCCCTGGGACCGCCCACTCTGATAAACTCCGAAGAACTCGGCTCGCCCGTGTCCGAGAGCCCGCCCCTGTCGGCCCCCGCCACAAGCGGGGCGACCGTGGTTTCCATCACCAACTCAAACTATGCAACGCTCCAGAACTGCTCCCTCCTCGCCAGTCACGACCTGATGTCCATTTCGGCAACGCAGCCGGCGCTCGGGGGGATCGGCCCGGCCATTGGCGGCCACGTCGGACCCCACCCGTCGGCGCAAGTGCACCCCCATTTCGCCCGGGAGCAGCGGTTGGTGCTGCAGCCCGTCACCAGCCTGAAGGAAAACTTCTTGTCTGAGGCAGAGAGCAAATCCGCTAGTGGCTTGATGATGCTGGATTCGAAAACCAAATACGTAATGAGCAATATGGTCGACGCAATCTGCGAGGAGCTGGAGACAGACAAAAAGCAGCTGGCCAAGCTCCAGACAGTGCAAATGGACGAAGATATGCAAGACTTGTAAATTAATAATAATAATAATTAATTTTTTTTGTTCATATTTCCATAGAGAAGTCTCTTCCTCACGAGGCCCTAGGACGCACAGAGTGTTTTTGTTGTTGTTTTTCTCACCTAGTCAAGATATGCATACAGAATAACCAAAAAAAGAGAGCACATTTTGAAGGGTCTGCTACAACGAAGTGGAAATCTCCGTTAGAAATATGAGATTGGCCATGCGTTTTTTGCATGAACTTTGACCTTTGTTAAACTTGGTAATGGGGGTGGGCCGGGCGGGAGGGGAGGTACAACATAGCAGTCAGATACGGGATTGTTTGGCTTACTAATATAATCCAAATAGTTTTATTAGACATGCAACACTTCCATGTATTTTCAGAAAGTATATCCTCCAAATATTAGATAGGAACGAGAATTGCCTTTTTGAAAAGTCTGAGTTTGGGAAGCCAGTGTCTCGCATTTTGTTCTGGATATTTCTGGGCATTGACGAAGGTGGTGTTTGTTTTTAAGGAATATTCTAGATGATACCTCATGAGCTGCTGTTACCTCCTTGGCAGAGAAAGCGCAATGGCAAACAACTTTTGTTTTTGTTTGGCGGTTTCTTTTCCTTTCCCTCTTTTCCTTTTTGCAGCAGAGTCCTTTTTGCAACCGAAAGTTCTGGGCCCTCAACCTTTGTGGTTCCTGAAATGTTACGTGACTTTTTCATTTTCTTTCCTTCTCTGTAAGGCCCCCGTCTGCACTATATGTGTATTGAAAGCACTCTTACACCACTTTTAAACAGCCATCGCTTCCCCACAAGAATGTTGGATACTATGGGGGTTTATTTTTTAAAAGTTGCTGCATAAAGCTGTGATTCCCAGCATAATCAACCCCTCTCCCTAGGAACTCTGAGCAACTTCAACAAACCGCAGTTCCCAGGTATGCTGCTGCTTTAAATGTATAGAGTGCAGATTGCGCCTTAGGTAGGATTAACCAACATGGTGCCTTCCAAATGTTGCTAAACTACAGCTCCCATCATCCCAGATCATTGGCCATGCTGGGTGGGAATGATGGGAGTTGGAGTCTTAAAACACACACACACACACACACCCTAGAGGGGCACCATATTGACAACTCCTGCTCTAAGAGTTTAGAATCAGTGCTGTGGAAGAAAAAGTCCGTTTTGCAACTTGAAATCATGCAACGTAGAATCCTCCGCCCCACTATTTATGTAAATATTGTTTTAATTGCTCCAAAAGGAACTTCTCTTTTTATTAGTATGTTGGGTTGTATTTATAGCTGTTGGTGTCCCATTTATCATTTTTAGACATGTTGGAACAGTTTTTACAACTGCTTAATTTATTTTTGATATTTTTGAACAGGATGTCACTTCTGACCATTTTAAAAACCTTCCCCGCCTCCTCTTGCTAGGGCTTGCATCAAATGGTGGTGTTGTTGTTTTAAAAAAGATGTTTTTCAGACTGATTTAGACAAAAGCTTAAACTTTCTGATGTTGGAATATAAACGAATGCAATTTGGAGAGTCTGGGACATTCCCCCCCGGCACCTCTTCTGCCCTGTGAATTTGTGTTTTCTGCTTTAAAGTAATATTACAAGGTTCATGTATTTTTCTAAAGAAGAAGAAGAATCCCGTGTGCCTTTTTGCCTAGTGGCCTTACATCTTTGTGACAGCAAGCACAGCTAATGTACAAAATGTGAACTCTGTTCTGCAGCAGTCTAACCCGATTTATCTTATTTATCTGCGCAGTCCCTTTGAAACTAGTGCCGGTGCTCTGATAAATATGGAAATTGTGATTGGTTACTTGGGGTGAAATTGCCCCCTTGGCGCACAAAGAGAACAGATTAAACCATTTGAAACTGGATAACTCTACCCCAACCACCCCATACTGCCCGTTCTTCTTACTTTACTTTTTGGAGTTGCAGTGATTTTGGCAAAAGGGGATTTTTGAATATAAAGCTTGATGTCTGCTTCCCAGTTTTAATTCGGGGGGGGGGGGCGGAATCCCTAGGTCTGTGAAAGAAGGATTCCACTTGATTGAACTCAGCTGGTAATCTCCTCTTTGGCCCACATTATCCTGGATCTAGCTTTGATCTAGAATAAGCAGCCCCTTAACTCAGAAATAGAATTGCTGTAGTGCCATTTGCAACATATACAGGAGGCTTGGAATCTCAGCCTGGCCAAATATTTGATCCCTGGGTTGTATTCCGCCCTTTTTTGTCTGTGTGCAATAAAATCAACAACAAGCACGTCTTTCATAACTCGGAAGATGACGGCAAAGGATTTGTTTGCACATTTTACTTTTTTGAAACAACTTGGAAGGGCATTTCTGCATGCGATGGTTAAACCTTGCTTTAAATTGCTCTCAGCTTCCCCTTCCCCTTCCCCAACCTGCATTAACTGCATCCATCGCTTGTGACATGAACTCAATGCTCAGATGCTCAGATGTCCCTTGTAGAGCGAGTCTGTGAGAGTGATAAGGGGAGAAATCTAACTGCAGTCCTATGGTTCTTGTCCCTCCCCTTGTGTTGCAGAGCTAGGCAATGCTAGCAGAGGGGCTCTTTGTTTTTATCTCGCAAGCAGGTCTCCAAAAAACCATTATATGGCCTTTATTTGCAGTGGGCAAACAACTTGACCTGATCTGTAATTGGCCTAGTATTGGCTTGTTTACTGGGCAGATGGTAATATGAGCAAACAGAACCTGGTCAGGAGAGCTTTTGTGAAACCATAATTGCTATGGGGCGTTGGAGAAAGTGTTTATGGTCACCCACCATCCTTAGGGCAGCTGGAACTGGTGCAAATTCCCCTCCTTTACCTGTAGACTTCCTGGTGGGATTCCTGGACTTTGTGAATGCGACCAGTGGAAGGCAAGCAGGGCACTAGCCCAGTAAGCCCAGTCTGTGTAATTTGTCCCACTTATAGCCCGTTAGTGTCTAATACAGGGCTTGGGTCTCCAGCTGTTATTGGAGTACAACTCCCATCATCCCTACCTAGCAGGACCAGTGGTCAGGGATGATAGGAACTGTAGTCCAAAAACGGCTACAGCATGTGCAGAGGAGGGCAACCAAGGTGATCAAGGGTCTGGAAACCAAGCCTTGTGAGGAACGGTCGAAGGAGCTGGGAAAAGAGGTGGCTGAGAGGAGACAGGATAGCCATCTTCAGTTATCTTGAGGGTTGCCAAGGGAAGGATGGAGCAGGCTTGTTTTCTCCTGCTCCGAAGGGTAGGACTCAAACCCAAGGCTTCAATTTACAAGAAAGGAGATTCCGACTAAACATCAGGAAGAACTTTCTGACAGAGCTGTTTGACTGTGGAACTGACTCCCATGAGAGGTTGTGGACTCTCCTTTCTTGGAGGTTTTTAAGCAGTGGATGGATGGCCATCTGTCATGGATGCTTTAGTTGAGATTCCTGCCTCTCAGGAAGTACGACGATAACCTTGGGGGTCCCTTCCAACTCTACAATTCTATGAGTCTATGGAATTTGTGCTTTACCAGAATGCTTTTTTAACTTACTTATTTCCGACAGACAGGAGCTTTGAAAATGAATACCGTATTTTTTGCTCTATAAGACTCACTTTTTCCCTCTTAAAAAGTAAGGGGAAATGTGTGTGCGTCTTATGGAGCGAATGCAGGCTGTGCAGCTATCCCAGAAGCCAGAACAGCAAGAGGGATTGCTGCTTTCACAGTGCAGCGATCCCTCTTGCTGTTCTGGCTTCTGAGATACAGAATATTTTTTTTTCTTGTTTCCCTCCTCCAAAAACTAGGTGCGTCTTGTGGTCTGGTGCGTCTTATAGAGCAAAAAATACGGTACTTTCCAAACATACTATATGGCAAGAACGTTGGCAAGAACCTTTTCAGCTGTCTATCTAGCCGTTAATTAATGGTGTTGAGTGTGATCTGTTTGATTGCTCACCTCCGCCGCCTTTAGTTTTAAAGAATCCAAAGTTTGTCTTACAGGTTTTAGTGTGTCTGTCTCTGTGGCCGCCTTGGACCCAGTCTGAGTGCATGCTCCAGAGGTTTAAGAATGCCAGAATTCGTGTGCTTCTCTCACTGTGGCTAAACAGAACCTCCTTGACATAGTTTTGATAATTATCTCATTCAGGTTTGTTAATTTTTTTTAAGGGAAATTAAGTATCCTAGGCTACAAAAAGGCAATTTCTGGCTCAGTTTGACCCTGGAGTGGCCTGTTATAGGATTTCATAGAATTGTAGAGTTGAAGGTATTCCTACGATTCCAAGATGCAGCTGGTGGGCTGGATCTGAAGAGACACAAAATGTAATAAATTGAGCCAGTGGAAGATCTTGCACCATAATGAATTGCAGGGGGTTGGACTAGATGGCCCCCAGGAGACCCAACTCTTACTGTGACATGAAACTTGAGATCTTGCGCAAGGTCTCGTGCTAACTGTTGGATTTTGGCTCTCTTTTTCGCACACAAGGATCTTGCACTAAGCCAGAAAACAAAACGAAAAGCCCTTCTCCTCCAGGAAGAGGCCTTCTGTTTGCCAAAGAGCTCCTCAGAATCCAGTCCAAGGTTGTCGGACCTTTGCTCAGTTGGGCCTCTTTGTGAAAAAAAATCTGTGGGCAGCAGGTTTATAGAGCAGTGCCCCCTTTTGAAAGGTCCTCCTCAGTTCACTGAGAAGACTCCTTCACACATGTAAACATGTGTCCTCTGCACTTGATTACTTAAAACGTCTGAACTGGCCTTGCTTGAAAAGGACTGGGTTCTGAATTTTGAAGAAAGTTCTGTCGATGGCATTGTACAGTGGTACCTCGGGTTAAGTACTTAATTCATTCTGGAGGTCCGTTCTTAACCTGAAACTGTTCTTAACCTGAAGCACCACTTTAGCTAATGGGGCCTCCCGCTGCTGCCGCGCCGCTGGAGCTTGATTTCTGTTCTCATCCTGAAGCAAAGTTCTTAACCTGAGGTACTATTTCTGGGTTAGCGGAGTCTGTAACCTGAAGCATCTGTAACCCGAGGTACCACTGTATTACTTGCCCATTTACAAATGCAACTAAACACTTGATGTTGCTGTTATCAAGTGTGAACCGGGTCACAATCCTGCACATTGTGGTCTGCCGGTGAATGTCTGCCCCTTCCCCAAATGTTGCATTCCAAGGCACAATCCTTCCATGTCAAGCATCCCTTATTTTGGTGTCTCCTCTCTTGGGCAACTCTTGGTTTTTGAGTGCATGTCAGTCATCCTTAGTAGGCACCCTCGCCCGGGTCTTTTACCTTGCTTCAGTTTTCTTTCACTTACCTTTTGTCGTTGTCGAGCCCTTCTGGAGAACTGTGCAGATCCTTCTCTTAAATCAGACAGGATCATGGTTCCAAAAGGCTAGTATTTTGTTATGCAAAGGCTTTCTTGGGGGAAGGAGTAGCATTGAGCAAATATTCTTTGATGGCGTGCTAAAGGAAATGGTTCTTTTCATGGAAAGGCTTTGTGGTTCTGCCAGCACCTGTTGCCACTAACTCTTGATCTGACTGTTATTTTGAAGTGTTTTACCAAGACTCCTAATTGCAGCTGTGTGCATGCAATCCCATTGTTGCAGCAGGAACATAAAATATGGGGCGGGGGAGAGATACATGCTTGTACATACATCCTAAAAACACCTGTGCATGCAACAGCTAGTTATATGTACCTGGCACTGCTTTCCGCATCAAGTGTGGAGATGCCCTGCAAATGCGGTGCTGTGTATCAATGCAACATCTCTTCTTATCCCAGAGGACAGGCTCTTTTTACTTTGCAGTACTCGCTGCTGACAATAGCTCTGAAGTCTTCCAGGAAGCAAATAAGTGTGCGTTGAGCACTGGTGCTTTAAGCCTGTGTCCACTTAAGACAGAATAAATATCTCAGGCTGCCTCCACTCTACAGAACTACCAGTTGGTGGTGTTTGCATCTGTTTGGAGACCTCTCAACAAAGGCTTCTGGGGCGCACATTCGGTGCACCTAGAGCCAATCTGCACATGAAGAACTATGTTGTGATTTTTTTTTTCACCTGGGCTATAACACTTGATGGTATTGTGTTGGAGAAATTTGGGGTGGGTGGATGAACCTAGTTTTCCTGCACTTAGGAAACCTTAGGGAGAAAAGCTATACTGCTAGTTTTGGTGAAAGAGAGATTCCACCTATCACTGGGAGTTTTCAAAACAAAATACAGAGTCGTCATCATCATATGCTATGCATGTACAGTCCCATTTTCCAGGTAGTTTTAAATACGCCCAGACCCTCAAACTCCCAGACACGGTCTGAAAATGGTTCTGCTGGTGACCTATTGTAACGATAACCCCACTGCTAAAAGTCTGTTAGAAAAAATTGTGATGCTATGTGTTTGTTTTTTCAAAAGATATCCCACAAAACTAAGCAGTTCACGAAACACGTGGCCTAAATAATTGTAATCTTGTGGTTTCTGCAAGCAGATAGGATGAGGCCAAGTCACTGCACCCGTTGGGGGTGGTTTGTTTGGTTTTTAAACTAGCGTATTTCAACTAGGTTTTTCATTCATGTCTCTCTCCAGTAACACAGGCAACTGCTTTTCAATCAGGAAATGTGTATACATGTAATTCAGAAAGGGTGTCATTTTTGTTTCCATGCCCCCAGTACAATTATTTGTTCACAGCTGCCTTAAAACTAGGCCTTTGCTTCTCAGAAATAAATCGTAGCCCAGCCTACCAAGGTCTGATTCCCCCATTTTTGTGGTGGGGGATATCACAGAATAGAGGGTGTGATGATTTGTTTTGTGAGCTTTTCATGTGGTGGTTCTCACCAGAGCACTTCACCGTACAAAATGTGAGGTGGAGACTTGCCTTGTGGTGTCAAAAAATAGCCATGTGAAACCCAAATACATCCCAGGAGTGACAAGGCCAGCAGTAAAATGGGTTATGATGACTCTTGGAACCGGCTATTTTCTTCTGGCGATATTTAGAAACGTGGGATAAATCTCAAACAGAACGGAGGTGTGTGGCAAAGCAGTGTATGGCGGTTTCACTCTGTTGCCCTCCAGATATTTTGGACTGCAATTTCCATCAGGCCAAACGAAACATCTGGAGGGTACCAGTTTGGCTACTATGGAGCTTGGTTCCAAGCTAAATAACTTCTCACAGGTGTTTTTTTAAAAAATATTTCTATTTGGGTTTGTTCTGCAAATTGGCTTGGAACAAACAACATGTTTCCATGGAGTGTGGGGAGCCTATAATCATTAGATAATTTGCTAAGTCGAGCGGTAGGTTATGAGAAATGGGGAGGCGGTGGGAAGAATGACAGGGGGTGTTGTCAAAATTACAATAGTATTTGTCCAGAAGTGTTGCCTAACATTTGGAATCACTTCGATGCAGTTCAACTTGAAATGAAGTCTGGTTCCTCTTGCAGACAAATAAAATTCTGGCTTTGATCATTAAAAGCTCGATTTCCAAATTTGCAAAATGTATTCGAGGAAATCCCAGTGTTTTTCATTTACAAGTGGGCTTGGGTGTGCTGCCCTAAGTCACACTCAAGCCATGTCCCAATATGTGGGAATTGTCTGCGTAGCACATTCGCCAGCAATTCAGCTGAGTAGGACAGTCCCTGCTCACAGCTCCCCGCATAAGAGAGAACCACAAAAATACAATCCTTGCATGCCGAAGGGCTGAATGAGAAATTGCTTTACCTAGAGAACACAAAATCAGAAATTCAGAATCTCTTGGAAACGTGAGCAATATTAGAAAATCCATGTATGTTGGAATACTTTGACCGTACAGCCCCGTTCCTTTTAAGTTTGAAATCTGTGAAACCGAATTCTCCATTTGCTTAGTTAGATTTGTGGGTGAAGGGTCATATCTCGCTGAACTCCACAAAAATTTGTTCTTCGCTGTCTTCACAGTCCCTGAATAGGTTGCGGCTGTCAGAAAGTATTACTAGTTTTTTTAATAAAATTATACACATCTATATAATATTTATTTTCTGTATACTTTTTGCTTAAATTAAAAAGGAATCCAGAAATCATCTTGGAAAGCTGGCAGCGAGGGCTATTAAAAATGATGTCTGTATGTTATCCTTTGGTCATTTTGTGTATTGGGTACCTCCTTGATAGCTTGTCACCAAATCATGGCTGTTGGTGAACTTAACTGGAACCAGGCAAGCCTCTATACAGGGGAATCTTCCTTTGCTGTTGACATGGGGATGCTCGTGTGGACTGGTCCATTAGGGTGGGCCACTGTCCCACCAACCTCAGTTTGCCCTCAAGCTGCTCCCACCTGCCTCCTTCCCTCCTTAAAACCAGTCATTGAGGGTGGGGGTGGCTCTGCCTGTCTTGGCTCCAGTGCCCCCTACTGATGGCCTCCCTGCTTTCTGACCTACCAGTTCAGTGGGCACCAGCCACCACCGAAGGCAACTGCTACCAGGAGCAAATGCAGCAAAGGTTTTAATATATGCATAAACTCTTTTGCTGAAACTTTCCTGTATCTCTGCAAGCCGCCATTTCTTGAAGGGTGGTTTTAACATAATGCATTTTGTAAGTTTCTTTTTTAAAATAATAATAATAATAATACTGTAGGAAAGCTAATAATACAGGGAACCTTTACATTTCTCAGCTGTAAAAGAAAAGAAAAAGCATGTGGATTTCTTAGTCTTTGGAATTTACGCTTAGGAAGTCTCTTTTCTTTCGTTGCGCACAAACTGTATGCCCAGAACTGTAAATCAATATGGTTTTGATTGTGCCTTATGACAAAGGATGGAATCGTAACACGAAAGGTAGATGTTTAAAGAGGCAGAAGTGTTGTTTGCTGCACTGTCCGGGATGATGCATTGCATGTCACTAGAGAGATTGCCATGCTTTTAACCCCCCAACCAAAGAGATCGAGGGGAAAAAATATGTGTGTATGTATGTTGTACTGTAATAGAAGCTTGTGCCTGGAAAAATTTAAGTGGTTTTTTGTGTGTGTTTTGTTTTGTTTGTATTCTGAAATGTGAACTTATTTTTCTAAACACTATATACTGAATAAACTTTATATTTATACATAACTTATGTAATGATTGGTCAATTGGCTTTTATACCTGTAAACTGCTAAGAAGCCACTTTCAGCTTTAAGTCCCCTATCCTTCTGTTCAAGTCAAGCGTTCTAGCCCAGGCATACCAGTAGCCAGTCACCTGTTCACCTAGGGCGAGTAAAATTCACCTGTAGGCTGGTTCTCACACTGGACCATCACACACACACCCCAGCTATTGACGCACCACAGATGTCTCATATAGGTATTTGAGGGCAGATGGGATAGGAACTGGCAGAGATATCCAAGCCTCCATCCTTACATTGGCCTGGGATTGGCTGGAGGCGTCCCCCTGCCCAGCTGAGGCAGCCTCACATTGGTTGTCACCAACCTCCCCTATTAAATATGTAGGTAGGGTGTTATTGGCAGGCTGCCTGCTGATGGTAGCCAATGGAAGACCCTGAAACAGCATTTTGAGAATGGAGAGGTGGTTGGGTCAGGCCTGGTTGGCTCCTCCCTTTTCCAGCCTAGTCGCCATTTCCAGCGGTGTTGTGGATGTACCTGGCATCAGAATACCTGAAGGAGCATCTCCACCCCCATCGGACACTGAGGTCCAGCTCCGAGGGCCCTTCTGGCAGTTCCCTTACTGCAAGAAGTGAGGTTACAGGGAACCAGGCAGAGGGCCTTCTTGGTGGTGGCGCCCGCCCTGTGGAACACCCTTCCATCAAGGAAATAAACTACTATCTCACTTTTAGAAGACATCTGAAGGCAGTCCTGTTTAGGGAAGTTTTTAATGTTTGATTCTATTTTTAACATTCTGTTGGGAGCTGCCCAGAGTGGCTGGGGAAACCCAGCTAGATGGACAGGGTAATAATAATAATAATAATAATAATAATAATTAGGTGAAGTTGGATTGCACCCTTATTTGCAAAGGTGTCTCAGTCTCTCTGCCTCCTTCCCTCCAGCGAACCGGCCACAAACCCACATTCCCTGCTGTCTTCCGTATATCACGTGCCCTTCTAAACCAAACGCCTCTGAGAAATAAGAAACAACTTCTGATTGAAAGTTCATTGGCTCGGCAGGAAGAATCGAGCAAAACCGTTAATCAATAAAAAGCATTTAAGAGCAACCGCAATGGCAAGGCAGCATTTGTGCCTCTTTTCTTTAGTGACTATAAATAATCCATACTTTCAAAAAGGGAGTAAACTCCATTTAACTGCAGCCTGCAAGAAAATGAAAGGAAGGCATTGGCTCTATAAGGGCACTTAGCTTAAAGCCAGTGGGCAGGGGGAGGAAATCTATTAGAAGTACCTAAAGTGGATTACAATGGAACGGGTTCTGAACCACAAAGTTTGACCTATATTGAGCTTTCTAAAAGCATTCAAGGCCTTTCTTCAAAAGGGTGGAGGGGGGGGGCAGATAAAAAATCAGATCACCACCAGAAATTAAGCATACTCCAGACTTCGTCTAGAAAGACGTCACTCATCTTGGGAAGTTCCAGGAAAAGCAGTTCAATGCTTATTAATAGTAGCTTGATCCACATTTCTCTTGAGTGCTGGGAAATTCCGGAGTGCCTTTTGAGGGTTGGTTTCTTCTGCAGAAGGTGACAATCGATATTTGGGTGTCTTTGTAAATAGCCCGAGAAGGACAGGTAGTAGGGATGGAGGAGAGAAATCAGATCCACTTTGCACGCATCCCGAAGCAATGCGCCAATCAAAACCATGCCATCCTTTGAAGTTTGCTTTCCTCCGTACTTTGCAATAGAGTTCTCCAGTTAAGTAATATCCACAAAAGTGCAAGCACTGGGGTAAACAGTGCAGAAATATGCATTTGTTGTTGTTGTTTAGTCGTGTCTGACTCTTCGTGACCCCCTGGACCAGAGCACGCCAGACCCTCCTGTCTTCCACTGCCTCCCGCAGTTTAGTCAAACTCATGTTTGTAGCTTCGAGAATACTGTCCAACCATCTCGTCCTCTGTTGTCCCCTTCTCCTTGTGCCCTCCATCTTTCCCAACATCAGGTTCTTTTCCAAGGAGTCTTCTCTTCTCATGAGGTGGCCAAAGTATTGGAGCCTCATCTTCACGATCTGTCCTTCCAGTGAGCACTCAGGGCTAATTTCCTTAAGAATGGATGCGTTTGATCTTCTTGCAGTCCATGAGACTCTCAAGAGTCTCCTCCAGCACCATAATTCAAAAGCATCCATTCTTCGGTGATCAGCCTTCTTTATGGTCCAGCTCTCACTTCCATACATCACTACTGGGAAAACCATAGCTTTTACTATATGGAGCTTTGTTGGCAAGGTGATGTCTCTGCTTTTTAAGATGCTGTCTAGGTTTGTCATTGCTTTTCTCCCAAGAAGCAGGTGTCTTTTAATTTTGTGGCTGATGTCACCATCTGCAGTGATCATGGAGCCCAAGAAAGTAAAACCTCTCACTGCCTCCATTTCTTCCCCTTCTATTTGCCAGCAGGTGATGGGACCAGTGGCCATGATCTTTGTTTTTTTGATGTTGAGCAGTGGAAATAATGTACAGAACTGCTTGAGTATCTGAGGCCCTTCTTCTTTGTGTGCCCTCTCGAGAGGTCTGGAGGTGGCAAGATGAGAACTGGCCTTTTCTGTGGTGGCTCCCTGCTTCTGAAATGCTCTCCCCAGGGACGCTCGCCTGGCGCCTTCATTGCATATCTTTAGACACCAGGCGAAAACATTCCTCTTCTGGCTAAATAAACAATCTTATGGCCTTTTAAACTGTATGTGTGTTTTTTTTGGGGGGGGTATTATAGTTAGTTATTGTGGTATGTGTTTTTATATTTTATATTGTAAACTGCCCTGTGAGTGGCAGTATAGAAATTTAACATGTCGATAATGGTGATGGACCTCGCGAGCTGTTCTTTTTGTTTTGGTTTTCCAACTTCAGATGTTTCAGATCGAAAATAGTTTCACCTATAGGCAATTGTATTATTTAATTTACCTCTTACAGCATCGGATCGGCTGTGTAAGAAGGGCTGGAATGTTACTTATGAGCAGGTGCCATTTTTGCGGCTGCGCTCCAGCAGAGGGGAAGAAGGAAAGGTCAGGAGGGATTATATCAAAGAGGAGGGATTTGCTGGAGGACCAAACTTGGCAAGATGAGGTCCTGACGGGAAGACCAAGCAAAAATAAAGTCTACCAACGTCCAGGAGGCATCGGCTGTTGTGCTGTGAAGAACACACTGCACTGAGAAGTGTTTAAAAAAAGAAATCGCAGTCCGTGTTTGACAAACAGACAGTCCCAATCACAGAGACAAAACTTCAACAAGATTTCAATTGTGTGGTTGTTGTTGTTTTTTACTTTTTCCTCTCTGATTTGCTTCAGTTATAAAACCTGACAGTGGGAGTGACCGGCTGCGGCAGACCAACTTGGTGTCCACTGATATTTCGGACCACAACTACTCTCAGCATACTGGCTGAGACTGCTGGGATCTGAAGTCCGAAATATCTGCAGCTGTGAAAAAGGCAGATTCCAGGCTAAGGATCATTAGAAAAGGAGCTGGAAGTAACACTATCGGCGTCATCACACTGTTATACAAATCTATGGTGTGGCCGCATTTGGAATGTTGTGTACAGTTCTGGTTGCCTCGTCTTGAAAAGGAGATGGAAAAGGTTCAGAAAAGGGTAACCAAGATGGAAAGGGGGGGGGGGGACAACCTTCCCTGTGAAGAAATGTTGCAGCGTTTGGGATTTTTTTTTTAGATTAGGGAAAAGTTGAGCAAGATGATATAATTTTTTTAAATTATGTATGGCGTGGAGAAAGTAGATAGAGAAAGATTTTTCTCCCTCCTTCATAACATTCTAACTTGTGGACACCCGGCGAAGCTGAGCGTTGGAAGATTCAGGACAGATAAAAAGAAGGACTTATTCACGCAGCGCATTGTTAAACTGCGGAACTCCCAGCCACTGGAGGCAGGAACGGCCACCAACTTGGATGGCTTTAACAGAGGATTGGGCAAATTCAAGGAGGACAAGCCCATCAATGGCAGCGATGCTTCTGAATACCTGTTGCTAGAGATTACAGGAGAGGAGAGTGGTGCTCCTGTGCTCGGGTCCTGCTATTTTCTGGTGGGCACCAGTTTGGCAACAGCTGGACTACAGCGTTGGAAGGAAAGATGCTGGCCTGTCAGGCTCCTTTAGGTCCTGGGACAGAGGTTCCCCCCACATTGCTCTAGAGCATTGAAGAGTGGAATCAACAAAACATTCCTGCATTGCAGGGGGTTGGACTAGATGACCCTCAGGGTCCCCTCCCAACTCGAAGATGCTATGATTCTCGGGATTACCCACCCTTGCAAACAACCCCGAATTAGCAGCCAAAGCAATCTAGGGCATGGGTAGGCAAACTAAGGCCTGGGGGCCAGATCTGGCCCATTCACCTTCTATATTGGGCCTGCAGACGGTCCGGGAATCAGCGTGTTTTTACATGAGTAGAATGTATCTTTTTATTTAAAATGCATCTCTGGGTTATTTGTGGGGCCTGCCTGGAACCAGACGGAGGGACTTCTCGGTAGTGGCACCCGCCCTGTGGAACGCCCTCCTTCAGATGTGAAGGAAATAAGCAGCTATCTTATCTTTAAAAGACATCTGAAGACAGCCCTGTTTAGGGAAGTTTTTAATATTTAATGCTGTACTGTTTTTAACACTTGATTGGGAGCTGCCCAGAGTGGCTGGGGAAACTCAGCCAGATGGGCGGGGTATAAATAATAAATTATTACTATTATTATTGTTATTATTATTACTACATGAGTAGAATGTGTGCTTTTATTTAAAATGCATCTCTGGGTTATTTGTGGGGCATAGGAATTTGTTCATTCCCCCCCAAAAAAAATATAGTCCGCCCCCCCAGGGTCTGAGGGACAGTGGACCGGCCCCCTGCTGAAAAAGTTTGCTGACCCCTGATCTAGGGTGTCTCTGATCACAGAAAGCGACAAACATTTGCAGCAGTGCCAAAACACAAGGCTCTCCTGCAAAGTCTGAGGCTGCAGGGGTTTTGCTATAGGAAAAACAAAT